GAAGAAAATATGGCGAACGTAGGCGCATGTATTCTGTACCACATATTTTCAGTGACCTCCCAGACAACTTTTCTCTTTGACAATTGGACAGAAGCTCAGGAAATCGTTAAAGCATTTGAAGCAGTAACATGTATTTTTTAAATGTACTTTATTTTTATTGTTTTCACTAATTACTTTGATTAGGATATATTGCGTGCTTTTGATTGTTATGCTTAGTTTTTTCCGGTCTGTCTAAGAAGATGTCACTCTGTAGATGTATTACTTTGAATATAAACGCTTTACATAACTGTGTTTAATACTACCGGGTGATTCAAGGAGACGGCAGGCTCTTTAAATCGACAGCGAAATTCGGTTTCTTAACCTATCGCGCTACCACCTAGTGCAGCGTTGCCCACAGATGGTGCTTTTTTCGTTTTTGTAAAATTTGCAAAGAGGGAACTTACCTGAGGAAAAGGTAAAGAACGAAAAAGGCTTAGCTCCTATGGAAACGCAGCGATGCCACCGGTCTTCAAACAACACGTCGCCGTTTCGCACGGGAGACAAGAAATGGCGCAAGCGGTCGCGACGCCAACTGCCACCAACAAACGAGCAGACGACGCCGAGAGCCGGCGTATTTAGCAGACAAGGAACTGCAGTTCCTTGTTGTTACCGCGCCCGTTTTTGTTCCTGCGACTGTCGCCGCCCGCGGAACGCGCTCCGCTTTTGTGTTGGAAAGATTGTCTGCTAAAGACGCTGGCTCTCGGCGCCGTATGCTCGTTCGTTGGCGGCGTTCGTTGCGCCATCTCTTGTGTCCCGTGCGAAACGGCGCCGTGTTGTTTGAAGACCGGTGGCGTCGCTGCGTTTCCATAGGAGCTAAGCCTTTTTCTTTCTTTACTTTTTCCTAGGTAAGTTCGCTCTTTGCAAATTAAAAAAAAAAAAAAATGCGCCATCTGTGGGCAACGCTGCACAAAGTAGTAGCGCGATAGGTTAGGAAACCGAATTTTCCGGTCGATTTAAAGAGCCTGCCGTCTCCTTGAATCACCCGGTAAATCTGCCGGATTTTCGCAACCTGCCAAGCTAGGCGCACAAGCCCTTGAGGCTTTTGCCAGTTTGTTATTGTACTGTGTAAGAATGTAAAACAATTCTATTCTATTCTATTCTATTCTATACTATTCTATAATTTCGGCCCCAAAGTTCGTAGAGCTCGCCGTAGATCGCAGCATCTAGCTCAGGAAATCATACGACGACATACGTAATTGCCGTAAGCTCGCCTTTGATATCAAACTTTAAAAGTTCATCGTACGGACAAATGTTACATCAAGTGTACAAAACGGAACTTTCAGACCCGACGCTCCGTGAGGAATGCTTACGAAATTGATCGAAGCTATTTGTTAGCACTTTTGTGGCGGCCTCCAGTGTTGCAGCGACAACGCAAAAGCCGGCCTGCCTCTCGCAAATCTTGCTTTCAGCAGAAAACAACGAAGAAGGCACAGTGAATGACAAGGTCGTAAAAATATTTACTCTAAACGCGCGGAAGCAGGAAACGAGTAAAACGTCGCGCTCGTTGTTCCAGTACCCTTCACCTCGGGTTGAATATGCCTTCGCGCAAAAAGGGGTTTTCAGGTCAAATATGATTTCGCCCTCGTCATTGGCTGGCCACGCCGCGCAGATTGTAGTGATTGGCGCGTGCTTTGTGGGAAAATGGACTGGCCCCTTTTCTTTTTACAGTGTATAGACCATACCAATAACCGCCTCCTGCGTGCTGCCGAATATGTTTGCCATGGACTCACTGTGGAATAGACCGATCTCACTAAGCGTTCAACGCATGCGCGACGCCGCCACAACTGTATACGTTCACAGAAGGCAGGTGCCAGTGCACAGGACAGCTCGTGTCGTGCTGGCTAACGACGTCCCTCAACTAATACCGACGCCGATGATTTGCTGGAAATCGGCAAGGTTCTCTCGATCCGCTCCCTCGGCGATTGACTGCCTGGGGTTTCTGTTGAATCAAATAACATGACGCAAACTTTCAACTTAAAGACTGAGTGTCAGTTATTAAAAAAAAAAAAAAAACTGAATGTCTACACGTCGTTAGCCTATAAGAGTGGTTTATACAACATTGTTCGGTGAAACGCATAAACGCATCCGAGCAACATGCTAACTCTTACTTTCACAACCGGTAACTCTACGTGAGGCAGTATAAATAACTGCCCATTAAACGGTGCTGGACCGACTGTATTACAGTTTTACTTCGCTCCAAGACAAGAGCGGGTTGGCATTCGATCTCTGGAAACGATCGGCGCCCAGTGATTAGCAAGGCTTCCCAATGCTTCCGTTGGCGTCGTTAAAGCGAATGCCCTCGCATGGCGCGGACAATCAAACCTCAAGCTCACGCTTCGGCTTGTCCCTCCCTGCGAGTGGAGCCGGTGTAATAACCCAGCTCCGAAGGTTCGCCGTTCGAGCGCATGCTTGGCTAATACATTAAATGACCCACTTCGGAGGAGAACCGCGCACGAATGTCTCTGCTGCGGGAAGGCTAGGGGAGAACAAAAAACAGGAAATGAGTCCTTCCTCCGCGAGATAATTCGAGAAATTAGGGCTCTGCCAAAGGATGCTTCTGGCTGGGACGTCGGCTCAGCTGGCGGGGCGACCGGCCTTCGGGTCATTAGACGTCTGGGAAGGGCTGCGTGCGCACCGCTACGTGGAAGTCGGCCGAAACACGACGTTTTGAGCCAAGACGAGCGCGGCCACGTTATCTTTACGAGTACGGACGGCACCTGGTCCGCGTCGAGGGACCCATACACTTCAGACCTTCCCTGTGGCCGTTGCGCGGACATGAACCCGGAGATTACACGAGGACAAATCGAATATCTTTGGAAGGGAGGAACGTTTCATGATGTGCTTGGGCAACACGATTCTACTTCTTTTTTCTACGCATGCATATATATACATATATATTGTGCAACATTATAAAGCTCTATGACTTTCCGAGCACAATCTCAGCTTATTAGCATTTTGTCACTGCACACATGCCGGTCAATTTACTGTTGTTTCTGATGCTGGTCCACGGAGAAACAGAAATTTTGGCGCGTTCACTTTCCCGTTGAACGCACAGGTAGCCAGTGTCAATGAATGATGAAGCTCGGAATATGGTTAGACCTAACAACATTATTTGGGACCATGTGCGAGTAAAATGTAATACCCGTTGTTCCTACACACCTGGCATTTTTGGGCTCTAACCTCACCCTCGACTTGGTCATGCGCTGGGAATCTTTTTATAGTTCTTAGTGATTTATTCATTTATTTTTGTACAATAGCCTCAGGGGCGTAAGGCGTTATAGAGGGGAGTGGGTGTTATGTACAATGATGGAACCAGCTTCTCGAAATCTTTTGAGGTACTGGATGGTGGCGATGTCTTCCTGAAGGTCATTCCAGTCCACAATTGCGTCAGGAAGGGGGATATGCTGGTATGCTGTGGAAAAACACCGGGGCCGGTCTATTTTCTATCAATGACCGAGTATGGAAGAAACTGATTTAGAGATTGTGAATAAAAACTTGATGCAGAAGGCATAGACCAAAGATTTTTCGACGGGGAAAAAGGCGATGGGAGAGAAAGATTCGATTTTATTTGGGAGATACAAGAAAAACTTCAGCAATCGGATATAATAAAATTGCAGCACGGTTTTAGCCATATGCAATGTAGTGTGTTTATGTAAAATGGGGGGAGAGGGAGTGGCTGCCAGAATAATGATGCGTATTTTAATTTACAGCGGGGAAAGATAGATGAGCCGTTTTAGGTGAGGAGGGGCGGATCTGAAATTTTGGCAAAAGAAACCCAAGCTTTTGTTAGCGGAACTCACAACGGACTTAATACGTTTTCTTTTTTTTTTTTAGGAGAGGTTTGGAGTGCGAAGGACACCGAGGATATTTATATAAATCGGTACTGACTACCTGCGTGTTCTCCGAGAATTTGTAGACACCAGATTTATAGTGTGTACCTTTTGCGTGTATCCAACACGCCTTACAAGTAATGCTATCCTTGGAACTGTTAGGCTTTCCAGTGGTTTTTTTTTTTTTTTTTTTGAGGGGGGGGGGGGGGGGGGGTCTAGGGGTGAGTGGCTTAGGTGCTATCCATACTTTGACGCAAGTAACGAGTACCTGTTCGTAGCCGTTTCTGTTTGCCAAACCGACGCAATCCATGTCTTCAGCGCAACGTGACCTGTGATTACGTCAACCTTGAGAAGCACCGGTTAGATAAGGCCGGTGAAAAAAAAATGACACGCACCCTCTTCGGTGAACGACACTAAGATTAGCGTGGCAGTCATTGAATTTATTTTGACAAGTTATGCGTCGTTATTGAAGTAAAGTAATGACGTCCCCTCGGAGACTCAGTAAGAGTAACCTTTTATGTTACCATTTCGGAAGATTATTTTGTAATGATCAATACTGAATCCTTTACAGTAAGTATTTGGTTTTTAAAGCAAACAAGGAGGGAGAGAGAGAGAAAGAGACGTTCGTACAGGGATCTCGAAGAATATCTTGGGGCAGATGACACACGCGAGATACGATCTACGAGCATTTTACAGATAGTCTTTCTTTCGCGATCGCCTCACTACTTTCCTTAAACCTGAACCATGTAACATATAAAATATGAGTTACGGAAGGCATACAAAGCGTGAAGCGGAGGTCGCACGGCTAGTACAGTCTTTTGACACTGTCTGAGGCCTTCCTTGTACGACGGCCCTGTCACATTGGTTATACAAAAACCGTAGACCTGTTCGAAGCATGCACACGTATGAATTGAACAAGCATGGGGCCTGCCCGCAGACACCAGCCCGTCTGCAGTGCACAGCGTGTCATCCACATAATGCAGAAGCAGTCTAACGTCGGCGCAACACTTGAGATAGTCCTCATTCGACGAACCGGCCGCAGTGGTCGTCAGCTCTTGAGGGGATTCATGTGACTCCCCCGGCGTGTGTGAGCTGCCACGCTGACGCGAGCGTGTGTTTGGCATGTCGCAGGCCGGTTTCAACGACACTTACATCCAGCTGCCCAAGCACAAGACGGTCCCCGGCGAGGTGATCCGCCGCATCGGCCGCTCGCAATGCACCGCCCGGCACCTGAAGCATTCGGCCATGCGGCTGTTGCCCGTGTTCGGATGGCTGCGCACCTACCGCATCAAGGAGTACCTGCTCGCCGACGTGGTCACCGGCTTCACGGTCGCCATGTTTCAAGTGCCCCAGAGTGAGTATTCCCGGCTGAACTTTTGTGGGGATATGGGAGTACTCGCTCGTTCAGTGTTTACCCGCCAGGCGGTAGGCGTTTCCTACTCCGGTTTCCTCTTGACTGTCTTGCCTGTTCACCGCTTGATGGCTTTTCCACCACTTAAAAACACAACACATAACTATGATTGCGAATTGGGATCGCGATCAAGCGGGGGAGATACACTGATAGTGGCGGCGGAAGTTTATTTCTGGCACTCTCGGGTAGAGCACTGCACGGGCCGGAATTTGTAGGCCCGGCCCGACCCGGCCCGGTAGACGCACGGCCCGGGCCCGGTCCGAGCCCGACAGAATATTTAGTTTGTAGACCGGGCCCGGCCCGACCCGGAAGAGACACTGCCCGGGCCCGGCCCGGACCCGGCCCGGACCCGGCACAATGTTTAGACAAAAGCTTGAGCCCGGCCCGAGCCCGACAAATTTTTTTTAATATAAGCCTGAGCCCGGCCCGAGCCCGACAGATTATCTACATGAACCCGAAGAGTTTGCACGCTTTAGCATAAAAGAACTATCTAAGCATAAAGCGAACATATTTGATTTGAATTTATTTTAAACTTGGACCGAGTTTTTTTTACACAATAAATATTTCGGCTTAGACTATGCATTTTCGAGAATATGGGCAAAAATATGCACGTCATAAATGATTTTGAGAGAAAAAAGTGGGCAAGATTTTATTTATTCATTTCTTAAAGAGATATGGACTTTTCGTTGTTCAATTTGTTTCATAGAAAACGTCCTTTTCTACATGCTTTTTCTTTGTGAAGAAATAATTACAATCACGCTAGTGCATCTTCAAAAGGCTGTACAAGCATAGAATTGGCTATTTTTGACGGCCATAGTAAGGCCCTCTCTACAAAGTGCAAAGGCAAGCTTTTCTTCTTATTATTTTTTTAGTTTGAAAAGGAGAGGAAAAAGACACTCATGGTGTACCCTACGACTGGAGTGCCCTCGTATTCTTGACTCCACTTTCCCACTATTCTGGTGGAATCCACGGGAAGGCTTTCCAAATACAAGACGTATTCTTTTTTTCTGTTTTTTTTTTCCTTGGTCGGCGCCGTAGTGATTTTCCATTTCGCTTGTTCGCAAAATGCAAACAAGCGAAACCTAAAAGATCAATGAGCACACCTATTGTTATCAACAATATCAAATTTGCGGCACACGACTGCCAAGCCACGCCGGCACGGCCCGAAATTTGTTTTTGTTCAAGCCCGAGCCCGGCCCGCGGGCCGTGCTCGGGTCGGGTAGCTCTCATTTTCTCGGGCACGCGGGCCGGACGCGGGCCTTCGGGCCGACCCGGGCCCGTGCAGTGCTCTACTCTGGGGTATAAAAACCTTCTGCCCGCACATAGTGCACGTTTAACCACACGTGTTCATTGCCCCTTAATTGTGTCTTTTGTGTCGCCTACAAATATTTTATAAAGAAAAAAAACAAAAAACACGCAACTGAAAACGACGATAAAGCTTGTTCTGTGCTGTACTTAACTTCCTGAGCCACCGATGAATCAGAGAATTAAATTATAAAGCAACAACTGCTACAGAGTCTCCGCTTCGAATTCTCAGAGAAGAATGTCGTCACTTCGCGACTCGGGAGTCAGTACAAACAAGCCCTTTTTTTATTTTTTCCTCCGATGACACGGAGTAAGAGAAGCACTCGTTAGCGCCGTTTTTACGAGCATTTTGCGCATAAAGAGGAAACTGCTCCGCCTAATGCCCAATGCGCCTTGGCGCATTCTGCATTGTGCGGAGCGTCATTTTTTGTACGCATCGTTTTTTCACGTTCCTACAAGCAATAAACATATTTAAAAAAATCGAAGGCTTTGCGCACTGTTCAATCAGATCCGTAAATCCTCCATACACCGTAGATGCTCGAGCTCAAATATCGGTCTCTGTGTGCAACCTTCGAGCGGCCAGGCTTATTTCCGCTAAAACGAAACCGAGCCACGTGCGTAGGACATACTCGGGGTTGAGCGTGTTTGTTTGTCATTCGGTGTATCGTAACCGCTTAGGCTAGCTGCATCGTGGCAATCGTTCCGCAGCTGGCAATGCCCGCGAGACTTCGCGATAATTAAGTGACGTGCGCTCCGTTGGGGACAAAAATTACTCGGAAGTGGGGCTTGTTTTCAACTCCGCTGCTGCCCTTGACCAAAATACTGCACATTTGGTGGGATGCCGGCTTCTGATTGTTCCGCACCGGAGTAGATGCGGGAGGCTCACCCCGTAGATATGCGAGGAGTCGCCATAATTTGGAAAACGCGACATCCGCCGTCTCCGATTCATGCAGCATTTTTTTAAACATATTGGGACAATTAGAGCGAGACACGAAGCTGTAAAATATGATTTAGCAGACATCCTGGCTTAGTTCTCAGAGAGGAGTGTAAGGGCAAGCGTCCTGAGGCAAACAGCATTACTCAACATTGAGGCAGTATTTGATTATAGGAACAGGGTCCTTTAGTCCGAAAAAAAAAAATCAAAGGGACTCAAAGTTACCTCGCCGTAATGTTTGAACTTTTTTCAACTTTCATTGTGCGTGTGCATTAAACTTTATTCCACCTAAAATGTGCGACGAGGAATCACCCGACAGGCAGGTAAGGATTGAAATCAAAGTTTGCTTATGTGTGTTTGGTTTGCAGGTGTAGTATATCCGCTCTACGTGGGCAATCCAATCAGTGCGGTACGATTGTTGAAATGTTGCTTTTAACGTCCATCACGCAGCAGGGCTTACGCGATCGCAGACTGTTACGAAAACGGGGAAGTTTTACTGTTTCACCTGCCACATTTTACATCAGGCCACTCTTTTAACGCTGAAAGCAAGCAAAGTATTTTTAGAATTCTCATCAACAGGAACCTTCCGACTTAATCATTGCAGGACAATGACACAGTACAGGTGCAAAGTTGTTTTCGATATCACTTTCTTTCCTCCGGCAATTCGCGATTGAAGTAAACTCACTAACAATATTGCCATTTTATCATATTTGGATCAGTTTGTTACGGCAGTTGACTTGCATCTTTTATAGATTGCTGTTTGGTTTGAGTAACATAATAAAACCGGAGACAGGGAATGAGAAGGACACACACAACACCGCCTCCAGACACAGCTAAAAAGTTTTATTGACAACACCCTTGCTTTATAGCAAACAAACCTCAGCCAGCGCGGAAGTGGAAAAACAGCAAATGCTATTATCATCCATCGCCGATACGTATCAACTTACAACCTACGAAGCCAACTACAATAAAAAATTGACCGAACAAAATCTAAAAACTACATCAGCAAAAAACGTCCGCACTTGTTTATCAAGAACAACCGAAGAATAGTTAACTCCCTACTGACGAAATCCTAATTGTTTCCTTCATAACATGTTTAAACGGATTCAATTCTTTGCAAACTATCTCTGTCAGTTTCCACTCGGGAACGCAATCGTTGCACTCATCTAGATGCTTGACTATTTAGGAGTTGGGCAAATTTGATAGCACTGCCCTTTTGCGCTCTAGGAGCCTTTCATTAAGACAACGGCCAGTTTGCCCAACATAAGAAAAGCCACACGTCATAGGAATATCATAGACAACACCTTTTTGCGCACTACGCCCGGATCTCTGTGCTCTTTGCAGCACATTTCATGTACACTCCCAAGGAGAGAGTCAACCGACTCAGGCGAAAATCGTTTTTGAGAACTAGTTTAACACCAAACCGCGCTGCCAAACTTTTCAAATTGTGAGAGATAGCCTGAAAAAACGGAGGGCACTGTGCATGCAATCAAATTTTAAATCATGCTTATCTCCGCAGATATTAAATAGTGGTATTGTTGTTCTGGCGTATTTTAAGAGTCGGAAATTCTTTTTTGATGCCGCCAACCGTGCATGTGGTGGCGGTGCAAATATGTGAGCTTGTTTCGTCGCTGGGCGGAAAACGAAATCTCGATATTCAAGAAATGTCATTATAAAGCAACCTATCGCCGGTAATTTGTATCGGCTCACCATGAACGGAGAGCAGCAAGGAGAAACTACTCATTCCACGAACCAGAATGGCGACCATGCGGGGAGCTTGTCGCTACTTTCCCAGGATCCAGTGACTTCAGTTGCAGCATAGGACGGGCAGTACTTTGAATAACCCTTGGGCGTCTATTGAGCACGCGCAGCCCGAGCTCTCGAAAAGGCAATGAGGGCGTACTAGAGGCAGCTTCTCTCGCAGATTAATGTTGCAACATAAAACGGGCAGGTCTAGCTCAGCCTCTGAATTTGCTGAGAAAGCTGCACTGAATTTTCATGAATTTCACGGAGTGTCCCTTCGCGAACCATGCGGGGAATCGTTAAACTGGTGATGTTTTGCAACTGCCACTGAGCAGTGGTTTATTAGAAGGGGGTCACTGGGGGGGCGTCCTCTTTAGTGCAGGTTGCTTTTCCTTCTTTTTTTTTGTGACTTTTTAGCGCATTTTATGTTGCGACCAGTTGCTCAAAAAACCACCTCCAGACTTTCTGAAAGAGTTGTACTCAAGTCAAAGCTTTATAGCTTATTTTTATCGGTTCATTTTCAGTTCGGCAAAGATGCTTTTACAGCCACGCAACTTTCCTCTTCAGATCTCTTCGGCTTTTGCGTAATTGATGTAGAGAAGCAGAAAGCTGATGTGGAGAAGCAGAAAGCTGCTTGCCGATTGTTGCTGAAGAAGTTTAGTCATGTTGTTCTTTTTGGGGTGTACAGAAGTAAAGACGTTTTAAGAACTCTTGTCATTCTTTATTTTTTCCAGGTTTGGGGTACACGCTACTGGCTTCAGTACCTCCCGTCTTCGCCCTGTACAACGCCATGTTCCCCATGATGATCTACATTATTCTCGGCACTGTTAGACAAGCTTCCGTTGGTAAGTTTGCTACGCCTGCTGTCGAATGCTACAAAAAAAAAAAAAAAATAAACGAGGGTGGTAAAATGTTTCTTGATGCGTTTTTAAGCCTTATAAACATCCAAGCTGGAGCATATGAACACTGGATTTTATTGCCCATACAGTAATTGGTGGGAAGGTGAACACCTCTTACGAGATTTTACACCGTGCCACCGTATAAAAAACGACTGGTGAAATGTAACTGTTTTATCCCATCCTACAAACGTCTAGAGCGGATACAAAGTTACAAGGACTAACCGTAGCTCCGCAGAATGCTCTGTTTGTACCAGAACTCACGCATATGAGGCGCTTTCCAAAGCAGAGCGCTCGCGTCCGTGACTTTGTCAGCACTAACAATGTTTGAGGTGGCGCGTAGCTTCGAAGAAATACTCGTACGCCTACTTTCCCACAGAACACCCGGACGGCCAATCATTGCCATCTATGTAGGGAAGGATGGTGAAACTATGTTGTCTAGACCTGCAAATTGCGACCTGACATTGAGCATCACGCGAGCATGTGAAACGCCATGCTCTGTATCCAATTGCTGACTTCATGTTCAGAACACGTTTTCGGCCATTCGCTACAATAGCGCATACACACAACCATCCGTTTTGTGCTCGGAGATAGTCTTACGTCCCCATGTATAAGATCGTATCTCAACCTTACCTCCCAGGTGCGGATGCCATCATGTCTATGATGACGGGTGGCGTGGTCCGAGGGCTCGTGTCCCAGGAGTACGTCACCCAGCACGCCATGGTGGCCATACACAACGCCACCAGCGACGGGCCGTACACCGTGACGCAGGTCACGTCTGCGCTGTGCTTCACCATCGGTATCATCCAGGTGAGAGAACAGCCGATCTGCAACCGAGTTGGAGAAGTCTGCTTTGGTGCGCCATGAGGCAGCATGGCTCTCGCAGTATGACAACAATTGCATATGTCATCAATTGTGAACTGATTAGCAGAAGGTCTATGATTGGCGTTTCGAGTGCATCGCGGAACAGTATGCATGCCAGAACTTCATAGAGTATTTGCGTGCATGTGCACACTTGTGCACATGCACATGCTTGTGTGTGTATGTGTGCGGGAGGAAGGGTATTTTCATGCTGCGATATTTATTGAGCAAAAGAAGACTTCGATCATAACAAGATCCTACTGCTTCGTCCCCTGTGCACAGCTGGTGTTTAGCTTCCTTAGCCTGGGCCAGCTGAACGTGTTCCTGTCGGAGCAGATGGTGAACGGCTTTGCGACGGGCGTGGCCGTGCAAGTGGTCATCAGCCAGTTGGGATCCATCTTCGGCAACCACGTGCCTCACATCAGCGGAATGTTCACCATATACAAGGTGACTGCGAGACGCCTCTGGTGATAGTTATCTAACAATCCGAATCGTTTTAGGGACTAAAGAAATGTTTTTTGCATGAAACCGCAGACACTCCTCTGACAACGAAAGCTTTTGGATCTATTTCCGGCCTTATTTCTTTGGCATTATGGGTCATGCATTCTCTGACGTTCCGTCAGTTGCGGATTTTTGTATTCTCTGTATCAGTTTGAACGAATGCACTCTCCATCAGTAGTCGTTACAGACTGGTCTGGTGCCGCCGAAGGTACCGCGCCATATAAACTTTACCAGTTTTGTTAAAGAAGTTGACAAGATAGAAATTTGGGCTAATTAATATCAGTCTAAGTAAAAAAAAAAAAGAATTTCCACACGAGAAAGCGGGTAGAGGACAACATTATACAGCGCTAACACTGATTTTTTTATTCAGAAGTGGAGAATATACCTAAAGCGCGGACGTGATTATCTCAAATAGAACTGTGCTTTTTTTTTTTACCAGACGTTTTTTAACTTTTTTTTATCGGCGCTCTTATGAAATTGATTAAGCGATAAAATTACATTAAAGTTCACCTTACAACTAAAAGGAAGGACGCCTTTTCTTCTTTCTACAAGAAGCTAACTCCCAGACAGATGGAAAGGAGATAAGCGCACACACACACCCACAAAAAAAAAATAATTTACTGTTTGGCTGATAGCGTAACGTTGGTCTTTAAGCCATTTAAGACTAAACTGAACCGATAGTATTCAAGTGTTCTTTCGGACGCTTTACTGGTCACCCAAGTGGAGAGGCTAAATTACGAATTATTAAACACATTATCGAGAATATTGTGTCTCAATGCAAGGCTTGTTCGTCGTCCTTAGTTCTATCTTTTGGCGCCCTGCTTTGTTTCAGACGTTGTATGCCTTCTTCGCGAACATCCACGAAGTGGCCTGGCAGACAACGCTGGTGGCCTTTGTCGCCATCGCGGTCATCATGACGGTCAAGCTCTTAATCGATCCGCCGTTCGTTCGCAAGCTGGGTATCCCCATTCCCATCGAGCTCATGGTGGTGAGTCACAATTCTTACTGGACGTTATTTAGAGTAACTAGACACCTTGCTCGACGTTGGTGCCTGTTGAAATGCACGGAACAAATTGGGCAGGAATATACCGAATTTCTATTATGAATACTGACACCGCCAAAACGCTCCTGTGCTTTTTTTGTATTTTTTTTTTTTGCTTATAATATTTGTTGATTTAATTACGGCAGGTCTGAGGAGTACACTCGGCAAATTATGAACCTAGAGAAGCATTTAGGCCTAAATATCCACGGCATGCGTTGCTACATTGAGCGCGACGAGAGTCTGCGAAATCCTACGTTCCGTGACATAAGAAATTTTTGTTTCTAGTGAAAATGTTTATTTTTTAGCATTGTAATTTACCGACCTCCAACTGTATATTGCAATGACACCTTCCTGGTGATCCGCAGGAAAGTAGACGCCCAAGTGCACAAAATAAATAACAATATACAATTAAAAACAAACAAAAAACTTCTGTAAATAAATTAGAGGGCGAGCTCGTGCTTTTAGAAAGTATTAGGAGGCCTTTAGTACGTTAATTGTTCATTTCTGCTTATTTACCCCTATGACTACGATGTATGGCTTCAGTGTGGTAAGTCATTTATTTCTTTCACCAGGTGGTCTTTTTCACCTTGGGATCACATTACCTGAACCTTAGAGTCAACTACGGAGTCGACGTCGTTGGAACCATTCCCGAAAAGTGAGTTGAACAGCCTTCTATCAGCCGCGTTATTGAAAGCTCGCTCTAGTCTAATCACCACCAACTGATAAAAAAAGAAAATGGCCGTCACTTTCTCCGATTCCTCCTCGTAAAAGAACCGAACAGAAGTATGTATAGCTCACAAGAGTCACAACTTCTTGCGATGCCTGCTCTGCTGCTTATCAATTGTATCAGTCAAATGCGGTCTTGGTATAGTAACTTTCCAAAAGTATGAGCACAGAGGACTCTTGTAACCAAAATGCCAGAGATGCTCCGCCCTACAAAACAAGATGTGTTGCTCCTCTCAGCGCCCCGTGCTCCTGTGAGCGTTGGGCAATTGGAGAAGCGTTTTTTTTTTTTTTTTCTACGCACCCTTTAAAAACATGGCGCTGATGAACACTCATTTTCAGTGACATCATCAAAATTGTGCATTCGTACCCCCCCCCCCCCCCCCCCCCCCCGCCCCAAACGTCATCAGCAGTGGATGTTCTGCATAGCTTGCGCCACTATCGTGGACAGCGCTTCGTATGACAACGAGCGTGACGCTAGCAGGAGGAGACGCCAGAACTGACTGGTCGAGCTTCAGTGTTTGCCACCGGGCGGGGATCCACGAATGACGACGTAATGCTCAGGCCTTGTCTTGTATTCGGTGACGCCATTTCTCCCCGGGAATGCGGGGAGAAATTTAACTATCAGTTGTGAAATAAACTATGGGTAGTGGAATTGATAGTCGATCATCGTAAAACTATCGATAATCGACTTCCGTGAAACTCGATAGAATACTATCAATAGCCGACTATCGCGAAATTGTTTATACTAGAATATTGGGCAACTGCCGATATCCAATTATCGTAATGCTATCGATAGGGTTTTATTAGGTAACGGATAAAGAACGTCTAGGAAATTGTGTGTAGCTCGGACAAAAACGCAAGTGCAATAGACGTATCTCACCAGCCAGTTTGACTACGCCACCGCTGCCGCAATGCATCGAAGGAACTTTCTGCATGTTTGACAACGCCGCTGGAGCTCTACGTGCGTGGAGCACTAAACGGCACAAGCCCTCGTATGCATAGCCGTCTGCCTCCTGTAAACTAAAGTTATGGCGGCGTCACGCATGCGCCGAACGCTTAGTAAGATTGGTCTATTGAGGACTTCCGCATAATTATCGAGGAGCAACCCTAAAACCTATTGCAAAACAATCTCATTATGGTAAAAATCTTTCCTAGAAGCTATTGGCAATAAACTAACAAAATAGCTCATTATAATATTTAAGAACTGCGGATAAAAGATATCAACTTCATGGTTTGTCGAAGTTTTTTTTTCTGTTTTAGATTGCTTTCCGGGGTGTGCCCTTCGCTTTTTACGAGCTCAATCAAACAAATGTATATCTCGTCCGTCCCTCATAAGTAAACTACATGTGTCGCAACAAATCCGGAACACTGCTTAAATATAATGCTAGCGATGGTGATCGAGTGCGCGAAGATGGGGACATGACTTTACACTAAGAAAAAGATAACTGTTTTTTTTTGTCGTTTTTTTTTTTTTTAGAAACAAACAGGTTGCGAGAAAGAAATAAAAAAAAGTATTTCCTTTCCGATTTATACTCCTTCTTCAATGAAATAATGCCTCATTGCCAAGAATATCGTTACTTGGATCGCAAGACATATTTGTTTATCATTTGTTTTTGATTCTGTTACCGTTATGTTCCCGAAATTAATGTATTTGAAGAATGGAAAAACTTAAAGCATCAGTAACTGTGTTTTCTTGGTATAAGCATTTTATCTGGTAATGTTCAATTGGAAGTCTTCACAACCCAATTTCATTACACTTATTGATTCAAATTCATTTATTTTTAAATTATGTGACGGATTTTGTATATTAAAGTTGTGTTTCATACCAACAAGTAAATATTTTCCCAGCCACCAGTATTGAACTCTGCCAGAATATAACCGAAGAAAGTGCCAACATATCATGGCATACAAGGCTAAGTGATTTCGTCAACAGCTATTTCCCGATCTTCGGAAATTTATTACAAATGCTCATCAGCAGAAAACAAAAAATCTCCAGTAGAGTGTCATTTTCACCTTTCAGTGGTCAAGGCTATGAAAAGGAATATGTGTCAATCGAATAATAAAATAAACACAAGCGCGAAACAAATTTGCGAAAGACCCTGATACTAAATGTCTTGTGTAGATGGTTGAGCGTGTTGGTTATTAATTTACGATAAGGAAAGGGGAACATTTAAGTTGTCTTAAATGTTTGTTTTAAATATTCCTCTTTCCTTATCGTAAACTAAATGTCTTCAGCCAGTGTTTTACCAGGCGCCGAGACAAACAAAAAATATTGAATATACTGAATAGTTTTGCACATGCGGGCATACTAAAGTGTAAAGCCTGCTATCTGAGCCTCACGAATATTGAAAATATGTGCGCAGGAAAACTAGCAAACAGCCATTTCTGTTTTACCCTTACTTTGGTTGTACAAGAATGTAACTCCATGTCTTGTTTCCATTCAATTCTATGTTGTTGTTGTTGTTTTTTCAAATTCACGGATTCTTTGCCCGTACGCATCAGTCGTCATACCCTTTTTGAGTAGGGCTTTAATTTTCCTAACACTCGATGCTTTTCTGAAAGCTGACTTTCGATGGTATGATAGTCGACTAAAAGTCAACTATCGATTGGTGTGTCGATAGTATTATCGATTGCACTATCGCCAGTACTATAAATACCAACTGTCGATAGTACTCTCGACAGTCAACCATTAAAAAAACTATAGATAGTACGATAGTCAAGGTTTTGATAGTTTTTCACTACTACTATGCTTGTTTCAATAACAACCGGTGTCGGTTTCGTGCTTTGTGAACGTAAAGAGTTCATTCTAAGCAGTGTAGCCAGGCAGAGGGTCAAGACTGATTGTTTCGCGGTGCATTAAAGGTACCACGGAATGAGTTTTGGGCTAGGATTAATGATTTTAGATTGAGATTTTACTAACCGCGTATTGTTTAGTGGCCGAATTAAAAGAGGGTGGAAAATCAAAGGCCTGCTTTTCGGAACGAAATTTTGAAGTATATAGACTATTTCGTACCTTCTTTTTCTTTGAAAGCCCTCCGCCTTTTCACTGTGATGCATCCGTGGTGCTCAAGCGCGTCAGCAGCTCACTTATTGGACCCGAGCACTGCATCATTTGGACGTATCCGCTCGTCAAAAATCAATTCATCGACGAACATTTCAATTCGCGTTCGTGGTCAATGAGTGCCGTGACGGCACTTATCATCACTTGCGAATTAAAAGTTCCACCATCAACGTTTCGGTGGGTGCATTAATAAGACACAGAAAACGCCAGAAAGACAAGACGGGGTGGTTACTGGTCAGCATACCCGACCGGATATCGGGAGACCCGGAGTTCAAATCCCGGCTCCGCCAAATATTCTGTCCTTCGGTGGCTTCATATGCATTGTTTTATTCGATCAAGTGCGGTTCATTCATACGCATTTGTTTCGCGTCGCATCCGGTGGAATACTAAATAATGTCCACGTGATTTCTCATTTCGCTTTTGAGTTGATGATTAAAGTTGAAGATGGAGAAGTTGAAAAATCATTTAAAGGTTCCTTTAAAACATGCCCTGGCAGACTGCCCGAGCCGACCCTGCCCAGCTTCAACCCGACCCTGATCGCCAGCATCTTGCCGGAGTCGTTCGCCCTGGCCATCGTCAGCTTCGCCATCACCCTCTCCCTCGGACGCATTTTCGGGCAGAAGCACGGCTACCAAGTGGACGCGAACCAGGTCAGACACGTCCCACCGTCATTGTCTACGCCGCGTCACATCCTTAAGTCGAGGCCGGCTGAAAGGCCTTTCATTGCACGAACAAATGGAACTTGGTATATTAATGAGAGGACCTATAAGCCAGTCATGGGTTAAAAACATAACGCTCCTAGCTCTAGTACTTTTGGAAGTTTTCTTACTACCTCTTAGTACTTTAGTCTTTAGCCTTCATTTTCACTGCTATAGGATAAACTACTAGCGCACAGGACATGGCGTAACCGCGTATAACAAATATCTCTTTCGTGTTTACTGCAACACTCGTGTCTCCGAGTATGCGATGTCTTTTTTTATAGCGATTTTAATTGCTCATTTTTGCACCGATTGTTTTTAGAAAAGTGATAATAATTCGGTACATGTTTTTCTTTCCTAAGCGTTGCCACAATTTAAATACGTTTTTGTTTCTCTTTCGTTGTGCACTCACTAATGGACTAGAAGACTCGACCACTGGAAAGATGGTACTGTCATTTTCAATTTGAAACATGCTTTGTGGTATGGGCTGTTCCGCTGGCGACAAGTTTGACTGTATGACCAAAACGTACCCGCACGTCATCTTTACAAACCGTGTCAGACATTGCTTCGTAGCTTCTAAAACACACCTTCGTTGGCCAGCACAGCGCCAGAGTCGGCATCATTGGGACGTTGAGCAAACTTTGCTTTTACCATATACCAAACACTGGGATTTTTGAAGACATAGATCAGGACACCAACTCCTAGATACATCTTGAAACAACGCGAAGAGTACACGGACAGAAGAAAGAAGTAGACGACATTAGAGCTGGGCCAGTTCTTTTTTCCATCCGCGTAACATTCGCGCTGTTTCATGATGAACCCATACCAACTAGACCAGTTATTCCGACTTTTAACCTAGATACAGATAAGGCCTGTTCCCAGCGCGGGTGTCTGATCGCGATATTTTTCGTCTTGTCCCTTAGGAGTTCCTGGCCCTGGGCGCCAGTCACGTCTTCTCGTCGTTCTTCTCCTGCTTCCCGATCGCCGCCTCCGTGCCCCGAAGCGCCGTCCAAGAAGGCGCCGGTGGGAAGACCCAGGTGGGTCGCGCCGTAACTTCCTTTTCTTGTCCGCATTCTTTTTCGCTTGTGTTGCGTCGATTTCCGACGGCGCGTGCAGGAAGCAGACAAAAAAGACAGCCTAAAAACAAGCTAACTTTCTGGAGCTAAAAAAAATGACAGGGTGCTTTTCATTGCAAAAATAAACGACGCATCGTCGACCGCTTATTCTTCGCCCAAATCTAGCGCTAGTAGTTAGAACTAGGGATGTCGCGAACCACCCTAGGTTCGATTTCGAAAGGTTTCGATATTTGCGAAGCGAACTAAGGTTCGATTTCGAAACATTTCGATATTTTCGTACCGACCGAGGTTCGATTTCGAAAAATTCGCAACTTTTGACAACAGCGGAGTTTCGAATTCGAAAATTTCGAAGCTTTCACGGTTTCTAAAATTTCGAATTCGAATATTTCGAATATTTTTTACTTCAGGTTCGATAAATTCGAAGATTTCGAAATTCTTTGTGAAAAAAATTCTAAAACTTCGAACGCTTCGAATTTTTATAGACATGAAGTTCGAACAATTCGAAGATTTCGAATTTCTTTTTGCATAAAGTTCGAGAAGTTCGAAGGTTTCGATTCTCTTTTAACGCTAAATTAAAAAAAAAAAAAAAAAAAAAAAACCTTCGAAGATTTTGAGTTTCTTTCTAATCCAAGTTTTCAAAGTTCGAAGTCCGATTTTCAAGTTTTTCCACAGTTTCAGTTTCAAATAACGTTTTCACGACTCACTGGTTTTCACAAAATCAAGTTTAGAAAAGTTAGGGTGTGATATCTAGATTCTGCGAAGTTGGTCGGGCAATTAAATGAGACGACGAGTGTCCCGGGCGTGCTAGAATATTTGCCAGTGCAGAATTGTGACCGCCAGCCCCGGGGGGGGGGGGGGGGGGGGGGGGGGTTCTTTAACCTGCATCACGCAGTAGTGATTGCACGAACACACTGTTTTACGAGACTCATCCAGTTCGAAACGGCCAGGGGCGGGCAGGAGGTTGAGGCTCAGAAAAACCTTGAAGCGACCTGGCAAACTAGCTCGCCACCCCTTGCACGCTGGTAGTAATCCGATCCGGTGAAGTTTGTAATTGTCCTGGAGGTTTATTTTCTGGGACGGAGGAATCGCCTCGCAAGAAAGCACAAAAGCCGACACAACTCGAGGTCGAGGAGCGTTCTACCATACAAGTGGCGTCGGAAGAGGAAAAACGGGGGGAAAGAGGGTAGCGGGGGGGAGGGGGGGGGGGGGGGGGCTTCAGCCTCCTTCTTTCCCTTGCAGGTATTTCGGACTGTTAAAGAAAACAATACGGGGAAAGAGAGCGTGGTCGAGCTTATTTTAATCTGAAATTATTTATGCATATGTATAGCTACTGTCGCTCTTCACTGCATAAAAGGTTGCGTAGATGGTCATTGTTAGAAACTCGTTGTCAGAAGGCACTGCTCGTCACATGCGTAGTGGTTCGGAAGTTCAAAGCTGTCTTTTCGACCTAAACACCTGTGCCGATAGTAACAAAAAAAAAAAAATAAATAAATAAATAAATAAATGCGGGAATAAAAAGCAGGAGAAAAAAAAAACTATCAAGAATTCGTCGGAAGTGTTCTATTCTTGCATATTCAGACGTTCAGAACTTCGAAACAAGTTTCTTTTACCAAAATGTGTACAGGCTAAAAGAAAGACGTCCCAGGAACGTGAAGCGAAAAAAAAATGTTTTCTTTTAATGACGTGTTGAACTTGAACATTATTAGAAATCTTCTCCCATGAGTTAATTTATTCCTTAATGTGAAAAAACAATAAATATATTATTTTGTATTCTCCAGATGACAACAATATGTACTGTCTGTGGTGTTAATTTAAATGCGATACCTCAAACAACTTAGACGAAAATAAATATCAAGTTTAGGTCATAATTGCATGCAGATACATGTTTGGACATTTCTTCGAAACTCACGTTGAATAACAATGATCACATCTTAAGACGGCACTTACCTAGGCTATACATAGATCATTCTTAAAAAAAGTATAACATATCTACCATAAATAGTTCCGGCTGCAGCGTGCTTCAAATCTGGCACAAACGATAATCGACAAAAACCCGTCGTCCTTCCTCGCCCCTTCGGGGATTTATTTCTTTAAACCTAAGCATGCCAGAACATTGAAATAAACGACATTGTCTTTCGTAAGGAACGCAGCACCGCTTGTAAAAGTTCGAGAAAAAAAAATTACGAATGTACCCCACTACTTGAAATCAAATGAAACCGTTCGCCGGTCTTTCGAAGTTCGACGAACGTCGAACTTTTACTCTAAAAGTTCGAAGTTCGTCGAACTTCTGACTTTTCAGGATTCGAAAGTTCGAAACGTTTCGAATTCTCTTGATAAATAAGTTCGAAAGTTCGAAATTCATCAAATTTTTTGGTCAGTCAAGTTCGAAAGTTCGACAAGCATCGAACCTTGCAGCGCAATAAATTCGAAAGTTCGAAAAATATCGAATTTTTTAGCGTAATAAGTTCGACGGTTCGAAAAGCGTCGAACTTCTTAGCTTAACAAGTTCGAAAATTCGACCTCCGTCGAATTTTACGATGTAGACAATTCGAAAAATCGAAATCTTTCGAACCTTTCGAACCGTTTGATTCGATCATCGAAACTTCGATTCGAAAAAAGTTCGCGGCATCCCTAGTTAGAACCATGTGTCAAAGTTTCAGAGTCGCGCCAGTGGTCACAACCACGTGTCAAAGTTTCAGAGCTAACGATTATCTTATTCATAAGTAATAAGTGATTTCCTAAAAAGTCTTATGGGAAAATGGGGTCCGTTCTAGGCATTGGCGCTCTTCGGCTCCATATTGCCAAGGGCCTTGTCGGCCGTCATTTTTTTCAATTAAAAATTTCAGAAAATATTTTAGGACTTTTAAATGAGATAACCGTTTATTCTGAAACTTTGCCGTCTGGTTCGGACCACTAGCGCTACATTTGGGTAAAGAAGGAGTGGAACATTCTGGTGTATTTTTTCAGTAAAAAAAAAAAAAAAAATTACATTTTTTAAGTGTATGGGACAGCAAAAAGCAACAAAAAACAGAAAAAGCCGTGTCGCTAATCACATTGCGAATCATTTTGTTTCCCCGATTGCAGATCGTCAGTGTCGTCAACATCATCATTATTATTTTCATGGTCCTTTTCTTGGGTCACTACCTGGAAGAACTCCCAATTGTGAGTTGTGTTTTTTTTTTGTTTTTTTTCAAGCTGCTGGTGCTAAGTGTGTCTTGTTACCCCTCAGTGTGTCCTGGCTGCTATCATCGTGACGTCTCTCAAAAAAATCGTGATGCAAGTCCAGGACTTCAAGCGCTACTGGAAAATATCTAAGATCGACGGGGTGAGCACTCATACTTGCATCGGGTGTTCTTATACCTCAAGACCTCAGTCAGGAAACATACATAGCATAATGAATGAACGCACGACCTCTTAAATAATAGATAGCTACATTTTATCGATTTTTTTACGTTTTCAGTCTAGTACCATATAAAGAAATTTTATCAAAACGGAACGGACGAAACGCATTACAGCTAGTCCAAGTTAGCACCGTTTAAACCACCATACAATAAATATTAATTTTCTTCTTTTTTTGCATCGTGACACTCCCATAAATTATATTTAATTTTATTTAAAATCACCGTAATGCAATGTGATCTTATGTAACGGCGTAGTTGTTAGCGCCTGAAACAATAATTCAGTTGTTCGGATGGTTACTGGCCTAGGTCTCACAGTCAACAGGAAGTCTGGTTTTGTATTTAATGTTTTTTTTGTTTTTTGTTTTTTTGTTGCAGCAAGTTTGGATGGTGTCTTTTGGAGCCACTGTGATTTTCGACGTCATAACCGGGCTGGCTATCGGTGTTGGCTTTTCTCTTCTCACCCTCATCTACAAAATTCAACGGTAAAATATTTCTTTGTTGGCTTCAAAGCTGTTTTAAAAATTTTAATCCTCGTGTACCTATGCCACCAAAAAGAAACTAATGGTATGATGTGTTACGAAATAAGGATGCAAAAAGGGTCAAGATGTTGGGGAAAGCTTTCAAGGACTCGCGCCAGTTTGTACCACAGTTGCATGCGCTATATTTGTCGGTCAGTTCTAAATAAACAGGGCTAAGCCCTAGATATTCACGGGAAAAAAGTGAAAAACCGATCTTTCAGTTTATCTGTTTCGTATGCAAGGTTGGCATAAATTAATAATTGTGTCATCAAGTACAGTTTTTATGAATTAGCAAAAGCCAAACTTTTAACAGATTCATTGCATGATTGCTCGTTCTAGATGCAGTTTTTAACATTTTGAACAGTGTGCATTGTCAAATAACTTTATGGAGTATGCAGTTAACTGTAATAAATATGAACGTCCTAGTGGCATATCCGTTTTGTTTTGAGATATTTGAGCGAAACTTAACGTTGTCATAACCTTTGCATCATTGCGGTTTTATCTGCTCTTATAAAAAGCGCAGTGAGGGGTCTCAAAATTATGCTTTTACACTTTTTCCCCAACTGACAGGCCAAAGACGTTCTTGCTGGGATCCGTAGATAACACAGAATTCTTCGTGCCCATTAAGAAATATCAAATGGTGAGTATCAACTCTCGTCTCAAACGTAATATCGCGACCACCACTGAGAAAACAAAAGGTTTTGATTTAGACTTTTGTTGTCGATATTAATAGTTCTTTAAAATTCGGAAATTCGCTAAAAGTAACAATATTTGTTCCACAACAAATTCATTTCAGTAAACTGATATATTACTCTTTGCCTACCTTTTGCACGCGTATATTGTGTACATAAGGTTTCATTTTAAAGTTTAAAGCAAAATGGCATGTTAGTCTTCTAGAACCGAATATTTCTTTTATCAGGCAAACTTTTTTGAGGGGCCTAGCATGTGATCTACAGATTTGAAGCCCTTTCAAAACAATGCGTATCTCCGGGATCAATTGTCACTAAACTTCGTGTGAAGTTGAACAGTCTCGCGGGCATGGCCTATCAATAAAAAGATCAGAAGCAAAACTGAAGCTGCCTTAACATCACGTGACATATTTACAGGTGCACGAGGTACCCAAGATCAAGATCTTCCACTTTGGCGGTCCGATTCACTTCGCAAACACAGAATATTTCAAGGAGCAACTGAACAAACGAGTTGGATTTACCGTGAGGTGAGCTGGAACATTCGACGACTCATTTCCACTATTTTACGAGTTTCACGTACGATTTTAGCTATACTTAAAAGTAGCGCAAAAAGAGTCGGACGCAAAAGTGCGAGCCTTTGAGCGGGCCACCCTTGTGCATATCCCCGCTACCTTGTGCTGCCACTTTTTTTTTTTTTTTTTTTTGAGTATGACAAGTTAAGTAGCCCAACTACGGTAAAGTAGTGATTTGGGCCAGTTGATTCGTAGCTAATGAAAAGAGCTTCGAAATAATACAGGACACACTGCAAGAGAGACAAGACAAGGCCTTGTCTTGCCAATAGGGCCTTGTGTTATTTCAACGCTGCTTTTCTTAGCCCTCCTATTTCATTTTCTTTGAACAATCTAACATTTTTCCTTCAAGGGACATTCTAAAGGCACGGAAGCGGGCACAGAAAGGATCACTGTCCAACCTAGTCAACGTGAGTAGATTCATATTTCCCAAGTGGCACATAGTGAAATCCCCGCTCGTAATATAACAATTTCGTGCATAGCCTTTTTTTTTCTTTTTACTTTTTTTTTACTATTCGTTGCTACTTCGAATATTTAGTTGATTAGTGAATTCGTTGGCCCGCTTATATATTTATATATTTCGCGTTTAATTGAGAGACCTTCATTGAATAGCCGCGTGAATGAAAAAGACAGACTAGGCAAAATAAAGTGTATCAAAATATGCACGAGTGCTCTATTTGATAGCACGTTAGCTAATAACTGATGTAGAAGGACAGCGTGTTAGTTGAATTGAGGTATACCGAAAGGAGAAGACGCAGGAGGGATGATGGACGACTTACACTTTCTTTCGACCAGCAACAGTGCAATCAAGGAACGGTGATCTTTTTCGGAATCACACCCCAAAGTGGGATGTGGTTCCGAAAAAGATCGCTGTGGCTTTCTTGTACTGTTGCTAGTTGAAAGAGGGTGTACGTCGTCCCTCGTCCTACGTGTTTCTTATTCTTTCGCTGTTATTCCTGTTAACTGAATATGATCAGCCTTTTCTTCCAGTTTAAATGGTAGATTTTCTTCCCTTTATATAATTGCGAAGGTGCGTAGCGTGTTGCAAGCATGAACTCTTACATTTGAAGCTTACTGAAGTGTGCCACACGTGGCTTTTCGACTGACATTTTTTTAAGCTAAAATGTATCAGCAGGTCCAAATTGTGCATGTAATGCTCATTATTGAAATATTGATCAATATTTGGTGAACCAGCCATGCTAAAAATTCGCATGTTTCACTAACTGCTTTTCGTGAAACAAACACTAACAGCGGTTTCAACGCCTTAACTTCCCTTAAAGGGGCATTTAAATAAAAAAAATGAAAGCCGTTTACAACTCCCTGTAACGCCGAATTAGAGCGCAGCTCTTGAGGAGGAGGAGGGGAAGGGTACCAAGGGGAAGGTATATCCTTCCTTCCTCCTCCTTACCTCCTCATCCTGTCTGCTACTCCTTCCTCCGAGCGGCGTCGCCGTCGCCTCACGAGGGTCACGTGACTTCACGGGGGTCACGTGACCTCATGGGGGTCACGTGACCCTATGAGGTTACGTGACGATGACGTCATCACTGACGTCACTGATGACGATGACAATGCGGATGTCAATGACGTCATCAGTGACGACGACGATGCTGATGCCGATAATGTTATCAGCGACGTCATTGGCATTTAACCATGTGTATGTCGTGCTTCGGACATGGCGTGTCCGCAGCGACCACCGTGTCATTTGTATGATGTACGGGCAGTGTGACGAGCGGGCGAAGTTCAAATGTCAATCCGCAGTTCTTGATCAGTGGCGCGCGCTAACTGCTTTCGGGGAATCGTGTGCCCTCAGCCGTCTCCGATGATCGGCGACTCCAAGGCGACCTCGATGAACGGCAGCGTGGGCAACGACCTGTGCTCCCTCAAGTCCTCGTCGTCCTGTATCGCCGAAATGGTGGCCCTGCCCACTCATGTCATCCTCGACTTCTCGCGCGTCTCCTTCATGGACGGCTCCAGCATCGCCCTCATGAAGCTGGTGAGTGAACCTGGCCTGTTTTCTTCCTGCCCTTACGATGCTAGGGAGAGTACTTTGTGTCACGTGACACGACTGACGTCGTGAGCTACGGGACTTGATGTCAGGTCGCTCGTCTCCAGGGTAATGAGTACTCTCAAGATGAGTGTTTGTCTGGACGAATTTCTGTTCGCGGGACTTTTGTGGAAGTTTCTTTTAGCTTGTGGGGGGTGGAGATATGACATGTTCTTTCATGAAAAGAGGCCTTGGAGAAAATCCGTTATATATATACGACTTGATTCACGGATTCCAAATAAAGATTAATATTATTATTACCAAATGCGATTGACAGAATGATTTGTGGCTAGGATGTAATTACATTGTTTTTGTTTCTTTTTTAATGCGCCTGCTTATCTGGGTGTGAAATAGTAGATGGTATGTGTTCTTTTTATGTGCGCCTGAAACTTGCGTTTTTAGTGTCCTGTACCCCACACCCGCAGACACCTATTCATAGAACGCGCAGTACGTTCTAAGTAAATAAAATAAATGAATAATTCTGTGGAGTATGTAATTCTGCGCTGTATATAATTCCCTTGAGGAGACAACCATCACAGCGACCCGAATGTTGCCATGACGTCCAGATTCCTTATAAGAAAACAATGTTTCAAAACCTTTGACAACATTCTATAGACGATAATAAATTGATACTCATCAGTCCTCGGTTAGCAGATGGAAAGACTTAGCTTAAAGAGGCCCTGCAAGGACTTTTTACTGGTTTTAATTTGCACCGAACCTGAGCGCACTGAACGTAGGAACTTCATGGAACTTTTCCTTTCTCGAATTTCGCTTTATTTTAAAATTTATAGGCAAATTAAAATCACAAAAAACAACAAAAAATAACCTCCTTCATGAGGTCCTTGGTCGCTTGAGTGGCCGTGAGCTAAAGGAGGGGTAGTGAGCTCAGCGAGCGATCACGGGTGTCGCACTCCGTGTCGCCGGCTCGAGAGGGCGCCACTAAAGCATGTTCTAGAAAGGCTGTATGAAGCGGGCAGCCAGGGCGGCTCGCATTGCATTTGCTGCGCGATTGAGCACTACTTCGGCATGACACTTCATTGGCCACAAACAACAGCAAAAACGGGGTAAAGATCAGTTCGGAACGGGAGCCACTTCGCGCTGCTATACCGCCAAATGTCCAAACCGCAAGCCAAACCTTCTCGCCGAAGGCCTTCGGAACGCTCGGAACCGGTCGGATCCTCGAGCCTGTATACGACCGCAGCGCCGCCGCGTACATCCCGGACCTTTCTACGCTCGCCGCTCGTCGTTACCTGATCCCACTACACCTTTCTAGTATCCGCCATCTTCTCCACCGCTTGGTGGCGGGTATGTCGACGGGTCATTTCTTGTTTCCGTACTTTATAAACTGCATTTGTTTCTTTACGGATCTAAAATACGGAACAAAAACTACTTTTATACATAATTGACACGGTTCGCGCCACTTATATTTTGTATTTCGACTAAAAAGAAGCTTTTAGCGGCTCTTAGTAAGCCCAGGACCAAAGACGTCACATTTTGCGCGCTGTCGGTACCGCGGGTCGCCCCCGTCGGTTTAGAAGGTCTCCGCGTCGTCCGTTTAAATTATGACGCACTGATATTTAGTTACTCTCTCCGCGCCCGCTAGCTTGCCCGAACCTCAAGAAACGTGCAAACCGCAAAAACGGTAGACGCTTAAATATGATTTCAGGGCCCTTTCAGAGACTGTGAGGCCCTGCTTCGCATGAAGCTCGGATTTCGAGAATGGAGCTAGACGCTTAACAAAAGTTCCCGTTTTGATGTCTGCGTTCCTTTCCCTATCGCTATGGCGTCGCACAATGTGGCAGATTATTAGGGAGTTTTCGTAGACCGCGCTGTCCCCTCCGCTAAGCGTTCCGCAACGAAGAAGTTGGTAATGCGCCTGCGCGCCGATAGCCTTGACTGTGGAGTTCCCGCTATCATAGCGGGTTGCGGAGGGCCTCGCGGGACGGCGGAAACGATCTACGAAAACTCCCTATTGACTTTTGCCGGTGGTTCTACAGTTCCGCTAATATTTTCCTTATGCCTGTTTTGCAGTTGAAAAGCGAGTACGACTCCATCGACGTGAAACTGTTCATCACCAACGCTTCGGGTAAGTTTCTTTTTTCAACATCATCCACTAATATTCTGGAACGCATAGCCAACAAACTGAAACTTCCAGCAAGATATTTTCGTCACCGCAGCATGAACTAAACATTCCCTAAATTAGTTATGTGAATTACTTCACTTTGAGATCATGTAAAACCAAACGCTTCGCGATACTTTATATCAAGTGCTTTCAGGCAAGGAACTTTTTTTCGCCAATAAATAACTAAATAAATCAGCAATTTAGTATAAATGTTTGCTGTCGAAAGAAGCACGTATGTACATTGCAAGATGTATTTGCTTACGGATCATCAATAACTCTCAGAGCCGAAGACAAACGGACTAGGAGCTTTCTGTCCCTCTACTTTATTCACCCGGCGTATGAAGCACGTAGTTGATAGTTCTAATATGTCTATTGCTGCGAATACCACAAATGTCTGTCTGCTGCAAAAATCGCCTCTTTTATTTAATCGCTTGCCATTGCAACCCGCGTGATGAGTGTGTATATACTGAATGTAATGGACCTGACAAAGATCTCATCGCTGTTGTAGATTCTGTGTTCGACTTCCTGCGCAAATCTGGGGCTGTTGACTTCCTGGGATCCGATAACCTTTTCCCCTCTGTGTTCGACGCTGTCACCGCTGCAAACACCAACAAGGTACTATTCAGCATTTTTTATTGCCTCATTGATATAACGAAAATACCTCCGTCGGCAATGGCGTCGAAAAACAAAAGAAGGGGAAATGCGCCCCCCCCCCCCTCCCTTGTCGCAGATATTTAGTAAAATAGTGAAAATGTGTGTGATTTTCTTGATAACATCTTTAATATTTAATGCTATTGTACTTTTAAAATGCCTACAAATCTGTTTGTACCTCACGATTGGCAATATGTTGAAATAAATAAATAAAAAGTTAGTAAACAATACGGGAGAAATAAATTTAAAGTACACCATACTGCATAGTTCTGACGCTTCTAACCGTGGGTGCTTACCGTGACCCTATCACCTTAAGACTTCGCGCCGGTGGCGTGAACAATTTCGCAAGCTTCCTTACACGCGTTCGTAGACAATTTGTTGTCGGTCTTTATAGTGGTCTGTTTTATATAATATATAACGCAAATAACTTCTAGTAGTGACCTTTTATTGTATTTTGCCAATCGTTGTTTCTGCGAAATTGATCATCTTGAGATAGAAGTCCTTCTGGATGTTGTTTTTTCTCTTGGAGTCCAATACAAAATTTAAGTATAAATAATTCGAGATATCAAAATGTTTGACCAGTTTCCAATCTTTTGACGCTTTGGAAGGTTTAGGTGTTCGATTTTTAACACTCCTGACGAGACGTCTAGCGCAATGAATCATATAAAATTAAGAAAAAAAATGCCAAGCAGTTATTCATCAATTACGATAAATTGTATTAGAGTCGGAATATCAATAAATTTATCAACAGGATTCACAATATCTATATTGATGATTCTGTAGTTGTTGCTGTTTCTGGTAACATGGAAGGGACCTCTGCGCGTTGGGTCTGATAAATCACATAGAGGTGAAGATTGGAATGTGAATCTTCTAATATGTCATTTAATTCAAAAATTGTACTTTCATTACAGTTCATTGGCGCGAGTCACGGCTCTACAGACTCACTTCCCGAAGTATCTGAGTATGTACCAAACTCTTACTCTTTCCACCCCCCCCCCCCCCCCCATGCCACATTCCAAGAAAACTCGATTGACATATCTTTAAGAAATCACATAAATGGCAGAATCCGGCATAAAGTATATTAAAAAAAAAACGAACTCACTTTGCGAACTTTAAATGGCAGCCGCATAGAGGAGCGTAAATGTTGTATGGACATTCTCACTAGATTCATTGTTCGGTTTGTGTATAGCCTCAATTCATTCACATATCCATCTGACATTGCTTACTTGTGTCAGGTGGATTTGGTGCTATACACTTTCTTATCTTAACGTTCATGGTAAACTATAGATCATATTTTTCGGTCATCTTATTTCTGACAAAAACTAGAACACGTCTTAGACTCTACTACAAAATATGCTATCAATAATTCATTGTATAATGGCAAGTTGCTTTTATTTTCCTGTCAAAAATATACTTTCTTACCTTTGATGTCGTAGCGGTCGGTAGAACCTTTCTCATGTCACTGACAACTATAAAAAGAGTTCCAGTCATTATGCGCGTCCTTGAGATCGCACCAAAACCCGATAGAAACGATAAAAAAAATACTTGAGGTCGGAAACGCCGTTGTGCACCTTTTTATTGTCGCTGAGTAGGAAAGTAACTCTTAAACTAGAACTGGCGAACCTGTAACCACGGTGGCTTCCGACTTGTGTATATTCATTCGTACATTAAAAAAAAATAGGTCACAAGAACTGTTTGATGCGCAGCACAAATTTCCCTGATTGGAAGAAACAATTAGCGGTCGCTAATTTATGTTGTGATCTTGAGCAGTGTGCAACACAGATCTGCAATTGGTTGACACATGTTTAAAGCGGCCCGGTATGGTGCCTTTCTACCGCACAGAGCGAAATAATGGCAATCTTTGATTTGATGCCTTAACAATTCATGCGTTCGACTGTCCTACACGGTGTTGAGGTTGACCGGCTGTTTTATTCAAACGCACCGTTTTCACTTAGACACTGTATTGGCTAAGTTACGAAATAGAAGAAGAAATATTACTAGCCCGCCACATGAAGTGTAGGGCAGTGTACTTGGAAATACAATTGGTATACGAGCTTTAACTTAACTTATATATGCGTATATTTCTTGTTTCTTTTTTCTCGTGGATTTTATAAATGCATATCAGCTGCTGGAGTCGACGACAGCGAATAACTATTTCTCATTAATTATTAATTTTATAACATAATTAGAGAGTCGATCATTACTATGCACGTGACAGTACTAGAATGTGTTTTGTCCATTAAAAGTTAAAAAAACTGTTGTACCAAGTTTTAAAAAATGCACCGTTTTCTCCCTTTTCCAGGTTTCTTTGAGATGCTCAAACCGATGTCATGGCCCCACATCACGCCGCTGTGCACTTTTGTAATATATTTATAATAAACACCCTACCTGTTTTTTTAACTATTTATTCCATACCCTGTCGCGTTCGTCATGATTTGTTTTAGACATCTCCCATTGAAAAAATATACCGTCATGTCCTGCACAAACTGTACTTCAATAAAAAAAGAAAGGAGACGTCACTCAAAACGGTGGACTTCATTCTGGCAAATGCTGGCATTGTTGCCAACAGTTTCTATCTTTTTTTTTTTTTGTCCCCACGGGACACTAAAGCATTTGCTCCAGCAATATTATCTCTATATGTTAAATTTCCCATGGTAAGTGGACAGCCAACAAAGGTAGCGTGCCACCTATCGCCATTGCCCAACAATAAGTTTCTCTTCTCCCGCGTGAAAGGATTCGCACGCTGGGAGTTGACTCTGAGACAGCAGCGCCCCCTTCCAAACCTCCCAAGACTTATGCCAGCAAATGGCGGATCTTACTCGGAGGAAATGCTGCCGAGAAGCATTTGGCCCTTTCAATGTCCACATCTGCGTCGAACGAAACTCACTACAGACACGGGCAGCAAGGTCGAGCAAAACACAAAAATGAATCGATGATGCCAGTAGCTTTCCAGATACGCAGTTAGCGCCAAAATACACTTTGCACACACAGCCCTAAATGCGCCGGCCTAAGCGTTAGTCCAAATCATTTACAGACTAGGAAGCAAGCGTCAGGTCCCAGACATTATAATGCAACAGCACTATTTTCAGTATAATCACGTCTAGGGGGTGGAGTGAACCGACAGCGCAGAAGCGATAACGGCATTCCCATTTTCTACTCGTTTTGTGGATCGAGGAAGAGACGGAATCTAAATGACAGGTCTTTCGTTCAAAGACAAGGAAAAATAAGCTTTACGTCGCCTTCTTTTTAGTCCCGTTTTTTGGCAGTGTTCAATAACCACAATTGGGTAAGTTACTTTTTAAAAATAACTTACCCAATGTGCGCCCAATGCAAAATAATCGAGCAGCTACATTGCCATTCCTAAACTGCATCTAAGAAGGTGTTCCATCTGGCGGCTTTAGACAGTCTCAGCAGGTGGATTGAACAATTATACGGGAAATGTATTAAAATTCAATGATGCACCCTTTAAAACTGACCGCATCGTCCGACACACACACAAGATGGCGACAAAGCAGCATGAACAAGCGGCGTCGGCACTGACAGCGTTCCTCATGGCACTTGGTTGACGAGCAGCTATACTGACGCACCGCCGTCATCTGTCCCAAAGCCAGTCGTGTGGCCCGAACAGGCTCGCCGGTCTCCAGGCGAAAGCGCGCGACTTCCGAATCATGTCGGAGGCCTTCTCGGCCACCATGATGACGGGCGCGTTAGTGTTGCCAGACGGGATGTCGGGAAACACCGAAGCGTCCACCACCCTCAGCCCGCTCACACCCAGCACCCTGCAACGAAGGGAACGCACATTCTACGATCATCAACACTCACTTTGAGTACCGTCATTGCCGAACTCGATGCAGTCAATTTTATACTGATTTTTGTGCAAGAAGCTATTGACTCGCAAAATACCTGTCCTCCGCAAATATGCCGCATTTGTCAAACATTAAGGGCACTTTAATGTTCTTATTAGTCTTCGAGCGCAATAGGCATACACCAGTTCTACTCACAGCCTCTGCTAAAAGGTATCTATATTCCGAATGCAGATAAAATGAAACTACAGAAATACAGACACCGTAGGCGTTGCGTGTTTCTTTAGAGAGGGGGAAGTTAGTGAGCCCCAGTGAAGGACCGGCGTGTCCGTTGTAGACGAGAAATTTCGCCACTGCAGTACCACTGCGGGCTCTTGAACGTGCATCGTGTAGACACGACCGCATGATGGTACGATGCTCATCCAAATCGGGCAGGGGTGGAGATCCAACCCAGGAGGGTTAGGCAGCTTTCGCTCCATGTGCTCAGAGCTGTCAATACACTCATCCCCACTAAGTCACACTGCTCATTCACCATAAAAAAGACGTTCGTTGGAAACAGACTCGCGTGCGGAACCGCCTCAAGCAGGTTCAAAGCACGTTTGCTTCCTACATGCTTCCAACAAGAAGCAAGCCTCAGACAGAATGTCTCTTGGATGAGGTATTAGCAGCGCGACCGTACCTCACCTAAGACAACAGTCCAGACTACACGCCGATTCGTTTAACTGTCGGAAATTGTACACCAACACACTGAAAAAAAAAAATTGCGCTGACGATCACGCGACGGGATGCGAAAGCGTCAGCTGGTGCGACCTTTCCATGGTACTGCGTCGCGATTGACAGCAAATTCCGGATGCGTCGCGCGGTGTATCGCGTAAACCGGATCACACGCAGAGCAGGGTCTCGCTGCAAAGTACTCGCCCAGTCCCGGCGTCAAAGCCACCGCGATTAACGCTCGCCTGCTCCGTTTGTTTTCGGCAACTCGCCCAGTACAAGAGTATGACAGTGTTGCCAACCTATTTTTCGAAAATACCCCACGGCAGCGTCCAGAAAACCCTACATTACCCTACGAATGTTTCTTGTTACCCTGCATTTTACCCTACGAGGCAAATCTTTGTTCAAATAATACTATTGCATGGATTATGATGATACAGGGTAGTATTAATACAGTACAAAGCGACAGGGCACGCATGCACGCGCATACCAGCGTTATTCTAAAACACCATGCTTGTATCTTGCATGTACGCTGTGTAGCATCAGCAGAACAGTGATGTACCGAGCGCACAGACATCCCAACCAACATGTTTAGTTGATTTGTCGTGCAATTAAAAACTGGGCTACGCGGAACCAGCACTCGCGGCGTCACACAAGGCGGCTCATTACAAAAGGAAGCTAATCCGAACGGTATATTAGCTTCTTTGCGTGTACCGCCTAGGGATTCGTCAAACTAAGGTACTATTTCGACAAACCAGGCTTTTACACCAGGGGAGGATAGGAAACCGGCGGCTCCTCCGTATTCGCTAAAGTGTCATTCGATGAAACGTAATGGTTTCGGCTCCGTTCGCTAAAACGTCGTTCGCTCAAGTGAACGCCTCCAGTCCCCGGGATGCACTCACTTGATCGAATGACGTTTTCCTGGTAGGCTCGGGATAGTTCCGCCCGTGGCGCCATGTGTTTCGCAGGTGTAACAAGGACCGCCGGATGGACCAGTCATCAGAAAACAATTGGCGGGACCATTTCCACTGGGAGGATACCTCTTCTGGCTCCAAACTTCCTAAGCGCAACTCCACCTCCTCCCACCTCTCCCACTTGCTTCAGCTCTCCAATACTTTCCAACTTAGGGAGCCTACATACTCCAACTTGGTGTGTAGTGCTCTCAGTTAGCACGTCTTGCAACTTGGATTCTTTCGTTTTGCACGATGTTGTGGTGTGGCAGCACACGGGTTGTAAAGCTATGCAAAACTTGTGCGGCAGCTTTTTTTTCTTTTTTTTGTAATGTTCGCCGTTGAAGAAGCAACGTCTGAAAATACCCTACTTTTGGCGGGAAAATGGCCTGACGGCCCTACAGCCGTACAACATACCAAAATGCCTAAAATACCCTACAAGTAGGGTAATTACCCTACGGTTGGCAACACTGGAGTATGAAAGAAACCCGCGTTTCCCTCATCCAAAAGTGGCGCATGCGCAGAAAGTGAGAAAGGTGAAACTCCCGCGTATTACACCATGATGATTTCAGAGACCTGAGTTCCGGGTCGACGACCGTGGTGGGGTCCCGGGCGTCGCCCATCCTGCAGGTGCCGCTCGGGTGGTAGATGGTGGCCGTGTAGGTGCGCGCCAGGCAGGCCAGGTGCTCGTCCGAGTACGGCGCGTACGCCTCGCAGCCCGGGAAGTCCGTCGTGAAGATCTGGGCGTCGAACTTGCGGAACGGCTCCGACAGGCCCAGGGCGATCAGCTGCTTCATGGCTGCGTCGAGAGACAACAAACGCTCCGATGCCGCTCATTTAGCGTGCCGACGAGAAGCGTCGAGATGCCACACCTGTCACACCAAAGGTGACCGCATGTAGACTTGTACACGTTACTAAAAAAACGTTCAGCCTTTCCACTGTGGTGAAGAAAGACCAGTGGAGCTGTACAATGGAAAGTAACGGCCGGCCGCAAGTCAGCATGCCAGAGTGGAAAGGCTGCCGCCATCTATGAGCGACGGCGGCAACAAGAAACGTGGCTTGCCGCCGTCGTTCGTAGATGGCGGTAGGTGTCCAGAGTTCGGTGTCTTCATTTCTTTGCGGGGACATGATTCTGCGGAAACTAGCCCTTAACAGCTCCGCTGTAAAAAGTAAGGAACTGCATTTGCAATTACTCATGGTTAAATGTAAGTAATTACAGTTACAATTACACTTCTATATAAAAGTAAGTGACCGTTACTCTGAAGAGTAATCCGTTACTTTCGCGGCGTTACTTTCCACCTTACTGTCCGAGGGTAAGAATCAAGACATAAGTGTTATGGAAGTGTTTATTGTTGCCGCAACTCACACTTCTGTGACCTTGAGCAACATCTGGCTCTCACATTGCCTCATCGGACATCTTACCTCGTTTCTATGTGAAGATGTTGTCCGCTGCGCTAAACACCTTTGTAGTCCACCTTTTTTAAAATAGGTGCTGCCACCTAGACGCGCGACTGAGTGGCTAGAAAACAACGCGTTCGCAAAACCTCCCCTACCCGCTCGAGACCCGAAAACGTCAGCTGTTGGCCCATTGAGACGCTGTGTTCTAACTACGCCTCCACCAAGCTTCGTGAAAAGACGGTGAGAGTGCAGGCGAGCTGGTGGTAGCTAATCATGTCGTATTACACCTGAGACTGCGGTGGAAGAAATTGGAAGAACTTTCAGTAGAAGGAACAGACACAGAGACGTTCTCTGTGTCTGTTCCTTCTACTGAAAGTTCTTCCGATTTCTTCCACCGCAGTCTCAGGTGTAATACGACATGACCAAGCTTCGCTTTTCTCCCCAATGCAGTTTATCTTGGTCTCTGAAGTTGATACAAAGAAATCATCAATCTCTTTCTCTCTTTCGGTCAGAAGGAAGCAAAGAAAGAGTGAAGCGACAAAAAGAAAAGACGCACATCCGATCCGCTACACCACTTTGACGTTTTTTTGTTTTTTTTGTATTTGTTTTTTGTTGGGAGGAAGCATTTCGAACTTGGGAGCTTGCTTAATATTGCTTGCGTGGAGAGTCCGGTTCTTTGTATCAGTTTGCTTCCAACTTCGTTGCGGACGAGCAAGCTGACGAGCATCTAAAGAATGCCAGGCCTTGCTTTTTTAAATGCAGGTGACAGCGTGATTCCGGTAAAGCTTACCTTACAAAAAAAATTTTTACGATTTTGTTTTGTCAATATTTAAAGTTCCCTCATTTTTCCTCTGCGAATGAAAACGAAAATGTAACGGATTACAACCATTCCCTTACGTAAAAAAGTAACGAAATTACTTTACAATAACATTCCGAAATATGTGGTTATTCCCTTACAAAATTGATGATAAATGAGAGGGATTACGAGTAATTTCGTTAGTTGTAACGGGCTACGTACAAGTCGGACCGCACGTCTATCCTCCGATCGCTGCCATTTGCGAAGCGCATCCAAGGAATGCTGCTAGCGTTTCCAAGCCAGAAGTCGGTAAGACGAAGTCACACAACGAGTACGTCATACGAGAGACACTCTGCGGACAGTGACTGAGGCGTTTTTCTTCCTTGGATGACTCAGCACATTGGTCATACAAACACTTGTTCGGGACATATGTTTCAAGCATGTATAAAACCCATAATCCTTGGAGACTTTTAACCTGCCATGTGCCGGCTGGAACTCGCTTTCTGTAGCTAATCAGGAGTGCGCCTTTGATTGACCTAGCTTTCTTACGTAACATCATTCAAATTGTGAACTGCCCAACTAGAGGTGAATCGATTCTCGATCTTGTTTTCTAAATGATAAAATGCTTTCAAACGAATATAGTGCGTGACGGTATTACCTATCGCGACGTGGAACTTGAGTCAATTTTTCTATACCAAATATCGGGATCTAGGCCAGTGATTTTAACTGCTCCGGATTTGGATAATGCTGACGACGCGGGTGTTATAGATTTTTTTGGATTTGTCCTCGGACTTGTCTCAGCAGTTGTTAAGTGAACTTCATTCGGACATCAATACACTCTGGTATAGTTTTTAGAAAATCATTAGTAAGTGTATATCGAAATATGTTCCGTACCGTAAGAACAAATCTAACATTCGTAATCGTCAGATTAATAGATATTTTGTATAGAAATTACAGAGAAGATGCAAGCGAGCTGGTGAACTTTCAACATTGTAAAACCCGAGACGTAGGACAAAAGGAGAAGAAAAAAGGGGACACACACCTTTTGTCCTACGTCTCGGGTTTAACAATGTTAAGATATTTTGCCTTTAAAACGAAGACTTGCTATAGTGAGAAAGAAACCTAGTTGTAATAAGACCGAATATCAAGCCGTCAGATGCTATCCGAACTTAACAACCGGCTTAAACGTCACAATTTAGAAACAAAGAAAGACTACTTAATACTACACTTCGTTCTTTCATAAAACAATTCGCCAGAAAAATTAAGGTGTCGTATCTCTCCAAGGGATAAATCGGTTGGACAACTGCAAAGAAGTTTAATTCTTTCTTGAAGTCGACGGCGTTGTCCCAGGTGTTCCTGACGTGGTAAGTGATATTTGTTTAACACAGGAGGGCATTTTTAATTTACTGCTAAACAAACTAGAGGCTTAGAAAAGTTCAGGGTCAGATATAATTCCAAACAATTGCTTGCAGTGTTATGCGGAATGCACATCACGCTATTTGCATATTTTATTTCAAGTCTCTCTTAAGCATGGATCCTTACCTGAGGACTGGAAAACGACGAATATAATTCCAGTACATAAAGGCGGTGATTGCAGAACACGGCACCGAACATTAGGCCTATTTCACTAACAAGTACAACATTCAAAATTCTTGAGAACATAATTTTTTCGCATATCTAATCTTATCTGGAGCAACATCATCTTATTGAGAAAAATCACTTGGATTTAGAGTCACTTTTGACTACAACTCAGCTAATTGAACGAACTCACAACTTCGCGGAAGCAAATTATAAAAAGAGCCAAACCGATCTGGTGTACTTGGAATATTTAATGCATTCGATAAGGTATTGCATCCAACATTGGTATCAAAATGATCAAACGTACTACAAAATACGGAAATTTGAAACTGGATTTCCTCATATTTATTCGACAGAAGTCAATACGTTAGCTATAAAAGGGTGGATTCTGACAGAGTCACACCAGCTGTACCCCGTCAGGTGGACCCCTTGAACCTCTCTTTTTGTTTTTAATGTTTATTAACGGCATATAAATCAATATTAATAGTCCACTGAGTTTGTTCAAAGATGATTGTATAATATATCAGAAAATTAGGAACAATTGGGGCAATCTTGTACTGCAACTAAAACAGCTATCGTGTCAATTTCATGCGAAAAAAAAACGATTAATTTTAATTATGCCCTAGACCGGCAACGTGTAAAACGAGTGGAACAATACACGTATTTAGACCTTTTCGATAATAAACTAAGCTGGAATCAACATCTAGAAACCACGATATTTCAAGCCAGAGGCACATTGTTTGCATCAAAAAGAAAATTAAAATTTGCGGATTCGGACACTAAACGTACCGCATACGAGAGTTTTGCGAGACCTATATTGGAATATGCAAACTCAGTGTGTTGTCCTTTTACGAATATGGTTTTATTAAACTAGAAAATCTCCGAAGGCTCGCTACTCTGCTTATTTTAAATAACTGCTCTAAATCATCAGCCACGGAGTTAGTGGAAAGATCTGGGCTGCAAACCTTAGAAATGGAGCAGAATTAATGGATTAAAAATTGTTTACAATATTCTCAATGGCTACCTGGGAATAGAAAGTTCCAACTATTTAAAATTCTCATCAACAGGATCCTCCCGACTCAACCATTCCCGGGCAATGGCGCGGTACAGGTTCAAAAATAACCGCTTTCGATCATCTTTTTGTCCTCGGGCAGTTCATGATTGGAATGAACTCGCAAACAATATTGTCACATTACCATCTTTTGATCAGTTTGTTACGACAGTTGACTCACCTTTTCTTAATGATATTTTCTGTTGTTCGACTAGCGTTTCGTTAAATTTATGATATAACCACTCCTACCGGCTTCTTGATTGGAGCCAGTCTAAATAAATACATAAATAAATGGGACGCGCTCGGAAGATGTTTGGGGTAAATCCGCGTTTGGCACCCTGACAGAGGCCGAGCTTTTTGACGGGCATTTATCCTGAATATCTTTAAAAAAAAAACTGCTCATTTTGTAGTTTTCCTTTGAATAGTTATTACGATAAGCGAACGGCGATATATTGTTTTGACTCTAGAATTGCATTTATGATGGACGAGCACGACAGCGCACACTTTACGAGTCGTGACACGGCAAAATCGCAGTTAAATGTGTTCGGGGTTTTCTCAACTGGTGCTCCCATTTGTTGATAGAAACGGAAGTGTTTGTTTTCACAATGTTTCTTTGTACTCTCTAAAATAATTTTGAAAAATTCATGTTCGAGACAAAAGAAAATCACCTTCAACGAGCACGAGGACGTCTTGTAGTTCTGTGAGGTACCTCGGGTCGATAAGAGGATGGTCGTTAGGATCGGCAGACCTCAGCTTGATCCAGCCCCTCGACTTGGGTCTTAGCAGGACGGGATACATGGTAAACGAGTCCATGTTCAGGTAAGGCTTGTAGACGCGGTTGAACAGCTGGGGAGAAGATCGACCGTGGTCTATTAATTTAGGCCTTCTTGGAACCCACAGAAATGGCGGCAAGGCGCCGTGCGGTGCAGAAAGGATTTGACTTGATTACAAGAATCCTGCACTTGGATGCAAATTCCGTTCTTCAAGCAAGCTCAAAAAGCACCTTTTAATACTGCACTATTCAAGCACCTCATACTGTTCACCGCTGGGCAGACAGAGTGATGAGAGTTACGCGCTCGCCGAACCAACCAATCGGCCGCCATTCATAGTCTCACCCCGCACTCTTCGCGTAAGGTTGCGCAGAGAGTGTGATCGCGTGGAGTGAGACCGAGCACTTCCACCGCCCTGTGAGCAGACCAAGAAATACCGATTCCGTTACATCCATCTAGTTACTTTTCTCGGTGACCAAGTAACGTGCTTGGTTACTTTTCTAGACAAGGAACGAATAACATATTTTCGTTACTTTTAATAAAGTAACGAGTGGTGGTATCTAGTTACTTCTGGAGAGGAACGGGTACAACATAAGTTACTTTATTTGGGTTTTCCCTCAAATCGCATCTGTGACTCTCGGTGCAAAACAAAAAAACCCGAAAAGAAACTAAAAATGGTGACAATGAATGCGTAAAAAATATAGGCATTATGAACGACACAAATTATCGGAAGGCGGATAGTGGTCTAGGAAAACGACAAACTGTATCCAGAGTTGCGAGAAAGTAACTTCTTACTTTTGAGTTGAAGTAACTTTTAAATCTCGGTAGCGAGTAACGTGTTTAGGTACTTTTCAAGCGAGTATCGGGTGACGATATTTAGTTATTTATTTTTTTAGTAACGTGTTGGTGTGTGCCTGTTAGCTTGGCTGTGCAAAGACTAAAACAGAGGTACTCGATGGGTGTCGGGGGTACCTCGTCAGTCATGCCCATGACTCGGCGGATCGTGTGACCCCCGTCGGCGGCCGGACTGCTCGACACGAAGTGTATCTCGGCGTCCGGCCAGTCGTCCGACTCGGCGTTGTACTTGGTCCGGAGGAAGCCGATTCCTTCCACGCCGCCGAGGACGGTCAGGGGACCTGCGATCAACGTGCACCTCCTCAAACAACTCGCCGCTCCGGGATCAAAGTATACACTTTAACGATTCTTGACAGAGCTCTCGCACATGTTCTCACGACATCTCGACACTTCCATCGATGAACCGCGTACTTCCCCGAATTTCCTCATTTTAAGGGAATAGTTTGCGGATCTGTTTAGTACAAGACTATCTTACGCAGTTTAATAGCTTGCACTGTTTTCATATCTCCAGGCTGTAACTGCGAGCAATGAATGTTCGTCATTGCTGACTAAGCAGACTCCTCAACGTTGGCAACGTGATACATAGTAAAACAACTGAATGCCGCGGGTTTGTTTGATACGGTCCAATAATACATTGCACACTCTATTACATTTTGCAGTATCATTTTTTTAATCTGGCAAAAGTGTTCTACGCTAACAGTCAATAGACCTAAACCTTGCCCTAATAACTTTTCTTTTTGTGCCGGTATTAGGTATTAAACAACCAACTATTCGCCGATCCGCGTAAGTCCCTGTTGTCTAATGCACTCATGGATTGCGTACCTTGGCCCTTGAGGAAATAATCGAAAGCTGTTTTGGGATTGAAGCGCTTTCTGACCACCGACACAGAGTCGTTGATGCTGAAACTGATTCCTGCTCCCCCGATGTGATCCTGTAGGTTCTCCCCGACGGGCAAGTCCGAAATCACACGAATCTGAAAAAAGAAGGAAAATAAAAATAAAAAAACGGTTCGATTACATGATGACACGTTCCTACTGAAAGTGTACTACGAACTATAATGACATCTCACCAGAGATATCTGTGAGTACCATCGTCCTATAAACATCCCTCCAAAAGCATTGATGCGCTAGCGGCGAGCGCTTCAAGCATAACTTTCGTCGGAACTCACTCTAAAAAAAAGGGGTGTAGACGTTACACCCCTTGTCACACCCCAAAAAAGGGTGTAGTCTGTGCACTTCTTGTTACACCCCAAAACTTCAGTTCGACGTACAGCGCACTGACGTTGAACTGACGGCCCAACTTTTATGATGGGCTTGATGACGGTGCGATATACCATATTAAACAGCTAAAGTACGTTTCAAAGGCTACATTAAAAAATTAAAAACGCCAAGGTTTTGCAGTAGGGCCAAAAAAAGAAACAATACCTTTTTTTCTTTTTTTGCAGTCAGTCACACGTAAATTAGCTATTTGAATAAGTTGTACAACTGGGCTATCGGTCACTCGTAGAAGTTGGTACCGTCGGTTCAACGTTAATGCGCTGTATACGTCGACTTGAACCTATGGGGTGTATTATATGTGATAATGGGTGTAAGAATGCACCCTTTCTTTCTGTGAGCCGAATAAAATCACCAACCAAATCGTATAAGGCGGTACCCCTCATTCCACTTCCCATTCTTTTTGAACACCAGCTGAAGATCTTCTGTGACACAGTACTGGCAACCTTGACTCCTCTTTCATCTTCTGACTAAACTGCGCAACCCTACTCCCGATAAACAAAACCAAAACGCGAGAACAAGCTGTTTCGTCGATGACTCGTAAGAATGTTTTAAATGGCTCGAATACTGTCCACGTTTGAGCGGCAGTTTTTGAAGTACTGTTTCTCGTCTATTAAAAAAAAAAGTGAAAGCCGTTTACAACTCGCTGTAACACCGAATTAGAGCGCAGGTCTTGAGGAGGAGGAGGGAAGGGTACTGGGGGGTGAAGTGACCTGGGGGAGGGTCACGTGATATGGGGGTCACGTGACGATGCGGATGATGTCATCAGCGACGTCACTGATGACGTCATCAGTGACGATGACGATGCGGACTCCGATGACGTCATCAGCGATGATGACGATGACGATGCGGATGTCGGTGGCGTCATCAGTGACGCCACTGATGACTTCATTCGTGATGATGACGATGACGATGCGGATGCCGGTGACGTCATCAGTGATGTCACTGATGACGTCATCAGTAATGACGACGATGACGATGCGGATGCCGGTGAGGTCATCAGTGACGTCACTGATGACGTCATCAGTGATGATGACGATGACGATGCGGATGCCGGTGACGTCATCAGTGACGATGACGTCATCGGGGAGGTCACATGACCTCGGCGGGGAGGTCACGTGACCCTGGGGGTGGTCACGTCATTTTGGGTGTCACGTGACCTTGGGGGTCACGTGACCCTGGGGGAGGGGTCACGTGACCTTGGGGTGACCTTGGGGGTCACGTGACCATGAGATGACCTTGGTTACGCCGACGCCGCTCAAGCCGGGAACGGGTCCCTAAGAGCTGCGCTCTAAAACGTTTAACGAAAAAGTAAAATCTGAAGAGCGAATTGCCGAAGTGCCCTCAGCCATTCGGCGGCACACTTACACCTAGAGATTCCAGGTGCCGACGTGGACCAATTCCCGACAACATGAGTAATTGGGGACTGCTGACAGAGCCCGCCGAGAGAATGATTTCTCGCCGAGCTCTGACGGATCGCTGCAGCCGCCTGTGCCTGAAGAGGACCGTGGATGCTCTCTTCATTTCGCTGAACAGGATCTGCAACAACCGCCAAGAGCGCCTTGGTTGGTATCAAAGCATTCCTAAATTGTATGGAAACGATAGATATTTCCATCTGCATACAAAAAGTATAAGGCACAGCACTCATCATGAGTAGCTTGTTTCTTCCCCTCCCTCCGTATTTACATATATATATATATATATATATATATATTGCTCGATAGACCACTATGTACAAAGTAGTGTCTCACTTCGTTTTACAAAAACTTTCAAGCAAGACCACACCTCGCAAAACACACCTAGATAATAATCATCGCCACCCCCAACAACAAGATAATACTTATTTTTGTGAAGAGCATCATACAGAACAGGGTCATTAAAACATAGGTAGTTATGCTATCTCGAGTGGACCGCTGAGGAATGGCGACTCGCCTTTGTGACGCGTGCTCGCACCAGGATGTGCAGGTTCTGTCTTCCCCTGCAGGGTTCCAAGAAGGCTTTGGCTGTGCTGCAACGACCGCCACGCCTCACCGTGCCTTGGGGTATGGCGAACCCTACGTTCAAAGTGAGTTTGCGACCCGTTACATTTGAGAAGCAGGTTAGGTCATATAGTTATGCCAAACTATCTATAATCATCATTTATTTTATCCCGCTCTTTCTAGGTGCACATTACCATAATATGATGAACACCGAAACAAAATAAAGCAAGTTTTTTTTTTTCTCTTAAATAACTGAAAGTAATATTTATTTGATCTCAGACAAATTTAAATCACTTCTTCCTAAACATACGTACTCTAATTTTCGAACACTTTTTTTTTTAACATGCCAGAGTCATCATCAGTTGCTTCGATGCGCCTCAGCCATTCAAAGAACGTGTAGGGAAACCAAAGTTCTTCCAGGTGTATTTATCCAGTCGATCTTGATGTGTGCTCGATAGGTTTCACCGGTAATATAGGAGACGCGCAAAAGCAACGGGCGCCGTGACGACACACTTTTGGCGCCGATCGATTGAGTCGACCAGGCCGTCGGCGGCGCTTAGAAAAAGAGTATCCCAGATCCGTCAACGCTCCGACCCACATGCACATTGATGGCGCGCTCAACCTGCGCAGAACTGCGCGGACCATGCACGATCGTCCTATAAGGCTGAATGAAGCGTGACGCACTTTCTCTCCGGCGTATATCGAAATCAGCCGCCTTTCCGATAAAGCGATTTCGCCGACACGCCCCAGTGCCCGTCGGAAGTCTTTCCTGTGCCGGAACAGATATATTGCGTTTCACTCGTCGACCCACGTATAGACGTATTCTCGACATATTTAAGGCCGATCCACATAGGGCGTATTCTTAACATATTTACGCTCGTTTCAGCGGGCGTAGTCGCCGCATTTGGAGGGCGCATTTTCGCAGAAGTGAAAAGAGGAAGGTCGCTGAACCCCACAAGGCGCGTTTCGTCGACGTCTCATCGGTGTTTGGAACAGTGTGGCCCGACTCGCGCTCTTCGTGAAACGAGGCAAAATGCATATAGGCTGCTACATTATTGCGTTCCTCAAGAGGTCAGAAGAACTAAATGTCAATCAACTACGAAAGCCTAATTTGCTAACGCTTGTCTAAAAAATGTACATACAGTCTCCTGCAATATGAAAGACCCACTGGGAGCGCGTGACCGGGACGGTGGCTGGAGGGGGCACTGAGCGCGCTCCGGCAACACCTCCTAGAGAAGAAGGCCGTAGCGCTCCGGGTGGTTACGTCACTATGTCGGAGGAAGGAAGGCCATGGCGCAACTAAGTAAAAAAATATCTGCTATAAACGTGTAAAAAAAAAATAATTCTTGTCGAGCGGCCCGGTGGTGTTCGTGCGCGTTTATCCGACATTAATAAACGCTTTAAAAATGCAGTCTTGTACAATTTATTATATATATAACAGAAACGTAATATAAAACGCGTTACCAAGGTTGAAAGTACCAAATATAAATTTATGAGTATCCCCGTAACCGCGGGACTACGTGCAGCCCCGAAGCTCCCCACACTTTTGGAATGAACCGCGCTCCGATGCGAGTGCGACATCTTTCCTCATACGGGATCCGATTCTGGTAAGTTTGCGTTGTGTGTTAGCTGCAGACTGTCTGAAAAGGAACGCTGAGACATTTCAGAAGGGAAGAGAACCGAAAAAAAAATTCAGTCATCGCCGCAGGGAGCGCGCACGAGCAAGAGTTGAGTCGACAACGTTAAGCCTTTCGTCGCCGCTGCTCTCTTGTTTCCTTCTTCAAGACGTATTTCTGTCTTCACCGCAGGATCGTGTCCGGTATGTCGACACAAACCTACCTGGACAGCTACCGCCATCTATAACAGACGGCGGCAAGCACACCAGTATGGTTTCCACTGTCACTCGTAGATGGCGCCAACCTTTCCAGCTATAATAGAAGAATGGGTAGTTGGGCGCGGCGGTGGGAATTCATCGTAGGAAACAGCGCGAAAAACAGACGACGACGACGAAGAAGCACACAATGCATCAAGTACAGCTCCGCTGGTCTTCCTTCTTCACGAGAGTGGAAAGGCTGAACGTTTTTTTTTTGTTTTTTTTTTGTGTGTTTTCTTGATACTACGGCATTTACGTGGATTCGTGGAACACGTCCTGCTACGGTTTGAGTGACATGTGTGAAAACTAGCCAACGATGACTGGTCCATTATCGGTAGACTTCTCTCTCGACAGAGAGAAACCTCTTCGAGTTCGTGTTGAAATGTTTTCATCACGGATATTGTTGGACGTATGGATACGATGAACAGATGAGAAACAACTTATTTACGGGCTTTCTTGGTCATGTAAAACGCAAACAAAAATGCTGCAATTGTTTTTTGTTTTGTTTTGTTTTTTTAATCGTGATAGAATGGAATCTCCTTCGTCGTTATCCGTGTGCAATTGCGTCGACACAATTGTAAATATGCTTAGTAGTCTAGTTTTCAATGGAAGATGAAAAACAAGTTTGTGTCATTGTTGAAAGTGCGTTGTTTGTGGTTATGTGTTTATTTATAGTACCACTGTTATTTTATTGCCTTTACCGCGTTTATACTAGAAGCTTAACTCTGTTAAGGTAATAGTATTATTGTATACAAAATAAGTTATATTTTGTTCTAGGGCAGCTCGAGCCCATAGGGAGAAGGAAATTAGTTGATTAAGTAGTAAGTTTAAGTAGTAAGTTTAGTGCCCCTGCTAAACGGAAAAGTTAATATATTTTCATTCAATGATATGGGATTTATTCCGCTCGCCGTCTTGAGTGATTATACGAGCGTCTTAAGCTGATTTGTCGACCCCATAATGTCATTCGATTGAAATTACATTAATTTTGCCATGTGGCCGGGGTATAATGCAAGAATTAAGTGACTGTACGCGATAACATCGCTTACGTGAACGTAAGTTACACTTGTCTTGCCGTGTCCGTGTTGACTACGTCTACCTGATTTTTAACTGTGATCTCTTCTGCTGTGTCCAATCACTGCGTGTCTCGCTATTTCGTCGAAGTATTTTCTGGATAAAATATGCATTCCTACAGCAATAATTGCGTAACTTAATGTTATCGACTTAAAACAATCACATTTTTCTATACACCAACTCATGTTTACAAACGAAAAGGAGCGCCCCTGGCGGACGCCACCGGCGCCGTGCTTGCGCGATGGGGGTGTGGGAAAGAAGCTCGCCGTCGCCCATAAATAAACCATTGAAATGCGATGTTGTCGGTGTGAGTCACACTGCCCTTTTTCGCGTTTGAATTGTTCAATCTACTCGTTCCTGGCGATGTCTGACTATCTTGAGCGGCGTCAGCGAAATTACCGAGGCTCGTTACACCGCAGAACTTCGCGTGAATAATGTGACATGTGGTGATTCATTCCGCGTGGACGCCGCAGTGTGTACGCTAAAACCTGATTCGCATGATGAGATATCGGTCGCAATTTTCAGTCGCGACGCCGCTCGGGCTGCAAAAACGTGAACCCTAGCTGAGATGGTCGACGTCGTTACTGAAAATCGCAAGTGAAATCGGGCTAAGTGAATTAGGCATAACAAGTCGGTGATGGCCACTGGCAACAATGATCAACATCTCCTTGTATCTACCGGTCACATCAAGCCTGCTTACCAACCTTCAAATTTTAGTCTTTTGAGGCCTGCACTAACTTCTTATCGCCTGTACCGGGCCAACATTTGGTCTACGGGCCGGCGCCGTCTAAGAGAGCAGACGACAAGCAGAAACGTCTGAAAGAGCAGACGACAGTTCGAACGATCAGGCGGCCGTTTGAGCTTGAAACGCTCTGAACGCAGCCTGCAGGTGGTGCGCACAACTTGACGGTTTTCTGGCGTTCGTGCTGGAACAAAGCAAATAAATCTGATGATTACAGGTATCCGTGAATTCAACCCAAAGTGCTTCCCACCCAAGTCATCGTTGCCCGACAGCGTCTGCTTTTCTCTTTTCACGGCACATATCCAGATTCTTGGACGAACCGAGCATGGGAAAACTGACCTTCAATTCTTTCTCGACACTTTTGGTACGGCCCCAGTCGCGGCGTTTTGACAAAAAGGCAGGTTTTTGCCTGGTTCCTTTCAAAACAACGCAAGAATACACGTTTGGCATGGGGACTTCTGCCCACATGTCCCAAGACCAGAAGTGCGACCGACGCGCCGCCACCGCGCCGTGACGTCACAGAGTTGAGTTCGTGTCAACGTTATTAGACTTCTTCTTCTTATTAGACTTCTTCTTCTTATTAGACAACTTCCCACTCACTTCAATCCGCCAAGCGTCGCTCGAAGCCCCATCTATATTTTCGTGTCATAACTATGCGTTCCAAAGAGCCCAGCTGAAGCGCCTAAAGGCGATCCCAACGCCGCGATTAATCCTGCAACGGTCACTCGCGGAACTGCACGTAACAACCATTTTGGCTTCAATCGGCCTTTTCGGAGCCGAAACAGATACAGTGGAAAGAGGTACAGGGAAGCCACCCACGTCTAACCAGCGGACGCCGAATTAGCCTCGAATAAGATGAGCCTAGGTCAGGACGCGCTACCTGAAATCCCCGCTGAGGCATGGTTGTATTATAACAATATTGATTGTACCGCAAAACCTTGCAAACTAAAGATTTTAGAAAACATCACGCGCCCCCATTTTGTACTAAACTCCAATAAAAGTTACTACAAAAAGAGTTTCTTTGTTCGTTGTATTTTACGTTTCTAGTAACGTTGAAACGTACTTGTCCTGATTTAGTTACCAAAGCAACCGTCTGGCGGCGCGTCCAGCGATGCTTGGCGAGTCGTGGTGAGTGAGGGGGGGTACCGTTCGTGCATGCGGCGTCTATGAGCAGTTCCGTAACTGTGCTAATCTAATAACGTTGGTTCGTGTATAGACGTCTTTTACGTATGCCTTCTGCCAGTTCGTACCGATGATATAGCGGTGTAATAATTTGCCCGTGTAATAAAATGTTTTCTGGACCCATTGTTAGGTGAAACTTTCACTTTAGCTAACAAGACACGCCTCCCCTCGGGGCGATTGCATTCGGCCCCGAGAGGAGGACTTAAGTGTGCGCGATATTCGTACCATCCCTCTTGCGAACCAAAACGCTCTTCAATGCATTTCATATTTTAAAAATAAAACTGTTGTTTCCCTTTTTTTTTCGTTCATAGTGCGCGTTCTGACATTTGGCACCTGAAACAACTAATAAAACAGTGATGACTAGGTTCCTTTCGAGCCTTCGTGGCCACATCTCTTGGCCTGACCCCGATAAGCGCGCTTTTCCTCTAAAGGGGTATTCACACGTGGGATGCTTTTGAGGGAGAAATGTGCGCATTAACACGAACGCATGGGAGACGAGAGGGATGTCAGTGTTATCAGACACATTTAGCGCTCGCATTCTCAAAAACAGTGTTGGTGCTATACCAATCTTAAAACAACTCTGTTGTGAAACTGCAGGCTTTGAAAAAGTGGCTCCATTCCGTATTCCAGAACCAAACTAGACGCGATCGCAACGCCGCCATTTCTGCCGTATACCGGCCGCTCCTGGAAGTGCACGGCTGCGCGCACTGGTCCAGTCAAGTCGCGCAAGTGCTGATGGCGACATCTCGGAGTGTCACCTTGCAATAGCTATATATAAAGCAATTTTTATCTTTTGTCAGGCTGCTAAAGGGGGGCATTGTAATCGTATTTAGTGCGGTCTCGGTGGACGCGAACGGTAGGGACTTCAAGGGTGAGTTTCCCAACTGAGTGTTCTAGTAGCGTTCGTGCTACCTCACGAGTGTAGGACAATGAACGCGTACATGAAACTGCTTTACGCGATTATGGAAGCAGCGCTGTTAGATGCAGAAAACGACGAACTGGCTCCTGCTAAAAGAAAGATGCTTCTTCCATGGGTAAATGCAACACAAAGGACGTGGAATCAAAAACCACTTTTGTGGAGCGCCTTGAGAACGGCATAGATGAATACCGAAGACTCCTTCGGGTGCCTCGGACGACATGCGCAGCAGTTAGCCAATCCCGATGCCACCGCCGTTCGGTACCTCGCGGAGCAATATCTGGAAAGTTGCCTGGTACGCGAACAAAATACCGCCAAGTGCAAAGAGATCTCACGCCAATGTGTTTGTGGAACACAAGCAAAAGCTCCTCCATCCTCCTGGTATGTCTCACTCTAAAAAAGAAGCGGTTCTTAGAAGATTTTTTGACGCCCCAAGAACTCTTTCAGCTCGTGAACAACGGTTTCGCCTCACGCACTATCGCTCCCTGGCACTCTAAAAAGGAAACTGGACGATGAAGATCTCCTTCGCATCAAAATAGGTGCTTAAAAGAATCCCTAATAGGTTTTTCACGAAGAACTCTTTTAGGGGGTTCTTAAAAGAACTTTTTAGAGTGCAACGTATGGACAAGCCGAAAAAACCCTAAAAGCTCTTTTAGACCAGATTGTTTTTCTACAATGTACGTCAGCGCTGCTTGTTACCACGTGATGCGCATCCTGCGGAGCAAGGGGAGGGATTTTTACCCGTGTGAACAGCTTTTTAACCAAAACCAAAAACTGTTAAAGCTCGTTCAGGCTCGGTTGGGCCCCGAGTGTGCGTCCTCCCCTCAAGGCAGAATGGAATCTTCAGGAGCACGCTCCCAGTGGGTCTTTCATATTGCAGGAGACTGTACCTTGCAATCGCCGAGTTGCCAACAAGTCCCGGCAGGATGACGGCCGTGATCTCTGCTTAAACTCCTTCCTTTTATGATGTATAGTCAGTCGTTAATCGCTCGTCCGAAAGAGATACAGCGAGTTCGTACAGTTCGCCGATGAACCGTCGAACGCGACGAGCGAGCTCCCATCTCGACAGCTGAGTCAAGCCAACCAGCCGGCCGCAAAGCTAGGGAAGTCAATCCTCGAGCAAGTTCCGGCTGTCAACTCGCGAGCTGATTGGCCGCCGCCGCTCCGTACGTTTTCGGATACGCCACGGCGAAATACGCCGGAGCGCCGATGTTGGATCGCCCAATGCGGGTGTATTTACGCCGACCATGAGGCGTCGAGGAAGCGTCCACCAAAACGCTCGTAAATACGTCGAAAATACTGGCGTGGCGTCGGTACGAGCGCTCCCTCGACGTTTCAAGGTTAAATGCGACCGAGACAGATGTCGGCCCTTCGGCGTATTACGGCTTGGCGCATACGGAAGCCTATATCGCAGTGCCCGCCAATCAGCTCGCGAGTAGACGCCGGAAGTTGCTCGAGGACTGGCTTGCCTAGCTTTGTGGCCAGCTTGCTGGCTTGACTCAGCCACCGAAATAGGCGCTCGCTCCTCGCGTTCGATGGTTTATTGGCGAATTGTGTAAAATCGTTATATTTCTTCTGAGCGAACGATCAACTGCAGTGAAAGAACAAAATACCAAATATGTAGTGGGCGATGGGAAAAAAATATATGTACAAGGAACTGTTTTGAGCAGAGATCGCGACCGTCCTCCGGTCGGGACTTGTTGGCAACGTGACATTTTTTTAGACAAGCGTTAGCAGATTAGGCTTTCTTGGTTAAATAACGTTTAGTTATTTCTGTCCCCTCGCGGAACGCAGCCGATCTACATTTTGCCTCGTTTCACGAAAAGCGCGAGTCGGGCCACGCTGCACCAAATACCGAGGAGGAGTCGACAAATAGCTCCATGCGTGGTTTGGCGACCCTTCCCCTCTTCCCTTCTGCGAAAAAAGAGCTCGCCAGGTGCCGAGATTACGCCCGCTGAAAGGCGACCGTAAATAGGTTGAGAACACGTCCTTTGTGTCGGGGAAGCCCTCGTCCCGACGCCCGTAAATACGTCGAAAATTATCTGGCTCGGCCTTAAATACGTCGACGATGGGATGTAGCCAATCAGGCGGCAGCACAGCTGCATTGCGTTTGCGCCTATCATCGGCTAAAATCACGCAGAAAAGCGAAAAGCGCAAGATAAGGCGGCACCTTCACTGTGCGAGACTGGTTTAGCGGGGCAAAGGCGACACTTTTGCTGTTCCATCCGATGTCGACTGCGGGCGGACTTTTTTTTTTTGCGTTATTGGTTTATGTGCTGACAGATTATTAGCGGCTTCCTTTCCTCGGGACGTCTCGGTGGTAAACCGCCCTCACTAACCAAAAATGCTCCATGGAAGTTCCGTACGATACTTCGTCCTTCAGCTGGCTGTAATCTGCAAATGTTAGACAATTTGCGGTGCAAAGCAGTCTTCAGATAGCTCTCACGATTCGCTGCTGTGAGAGTGGTAAAACGCACGCCGAAGACACGCTTGCCTTGTATATCGTAGACTTCCTCGATGTCTGTCCATTTCGAAGGAGACATTCTCGCGTTACATTTGGTCTGACGAGCACGGGCGAAGGAAAACGTATAAATACATTTTAGGCAGTAAATGTAATAAAGCGCAAGCCACGGATATACGTGCATGCCTGAGAGACTGATCGGAAGGTAAAGTGGCCGAGATGGGGACAGGAAAGCGAGTGGGAAGCAACGGTGGCAAATAGGCGAAGCTCTCTCACCTGTCTGGACGGGCCCGTTCGGGTCGAGGTTGGGGTAGCCGAGCGCCATCCCAGAGGCTACGAAGGCGTGGGCCAGGGGAGACGTGTACGGAGCCGTGGAAACCGTCAGGTAGCCTCCCCTGCCGTGGTAGCCTGCGACGCAGTCACCGCACTGAGCGAAGTTCTTACACACACACACTGCACGCGCAGGATTAGCGCCGCTTCAGATTTGACAGGTAACTCAGTTGTATACACCAAACGTTGTTCGCAGCAACCATATATGGCATCTGCGGCCAGGCCTCAAGCACGCCCGTGTTGGCTTCATAGCTTCCATCATGTGTGCAGAGAGGTTTCCTATATGTGGCTGTCTGAAGGCCTCAGGCTGTCCCTCGTATGGTGCATGAGTGACTGTCGCTTCACGGACAACTTTGCAGGTAATTACCCAACGAATTTAAGTTGAGGCTGCATTTATAATGATTTATTTCCTTGAGGTACGTTATAAATTGTCCCTTTGAGGTAAAAACATTTTGGCGGTTCACCCTGTAGGGTACGAAGAGCGGTTTAATAACTCGATATGCGTTCCGCAACGTGTTCCCGAACGCCAATTCGGTTATGACATCGTGGGGCACACCATCTCGCACGTGGCACAGAGCAGATGTACAAATGCACAAACACAAACCTGCGCAGGGGGCCCTAAACTCGTCAAACACAAACTTGGGGCCGAAGTTGACGGAGCTCATCGATTGGACAACGACGACGATGACTTCGCGTTTTTATCGCCGGCGTCCAATCACCGCGTTCCGCAAACTTTCGGCTCCAACTTTGTGTTTGACAAGTTTAGGGCCCCTGGAGTGCACTCTCAAAAGCAGCAGCCACGCTGATATCAATTCAGCGATATTATTAATGCACGAGCAAACATAGTGCACGACCGATCTTAAGTCAATAACGACGTCACCGATCTGTCATTCCATGCCAAAGGACGCTCGACAGTTTTTTCGTGTCTGGGATATATACCAAAATATCAATTTAGATAATAAAAAACCTCTAAACTCCAAGAAAAAAAAATCTAACAAATAAATTTTATTTTTGCTGATATCATGCTCTAAATTTTTAGGATTTGCATAAAACCTATGTAGATAACAAAAACATTGTAAAAAAACGGTTGCTTACCAGAAAAAATTTTGGTGGGCGCATAATTACTTAATAACATGCCCTATCTTACACTAAAATACAAACATTCAAATACGCCATTTTCAGTCCAAAATGGGAGCTTCAAAAAGAAGAGACTTTATGAGATTTCTTTATTTTTTTTAGTCAACTTGGATTGGGGTGTTACCTACAATAGTTCTTTCGTTTGTTCTTTTAATGTCGATAATTAAATGGCGTGTATAAAATGTTAGGAGCATCGTTTTGACGCATTTTAAATAAATGTCAAAATCTCCAGTTCATGGAGAAACGGCCATATTGGGAGCCATAAAGAACAATCTGGGCAGCGGTGCCCGAAACTTTCAAAATAGCCGGAAGTTTAATCCCCCTCGTCTTCAACATATCAAAAATTAAGAAAATTACTTCCTTTTTTTTTTTTTTCTTGCTGAGTATTATTTTTTTTAAAGGTGAGGCCTCTCCGACCATGCCTCCAGGTGCCCGCCTGGTAGGCGATGCACGCCGGCGTTCACCAGCGTCTTCAGCGCTCTGCTGAAAACACGTTTTATTCAGTTGAAGTGGATGTTATCCTGAATTCGATGCATCAGTATCTTCTTTACTGTGTGTAATGATACTGGCGTCTTAATGTTACTCTACTTCTGTCCTGGAAACTGCCGACGAACGCAGGCCAGCATCGTCTGCTTCCCGAGTTTGGGAATGCGTATACAGCCCGTCGACGTCGTCTGTCGTACGTCAAGACATAAAAAGAATTTAGACCGGATGGGTCTTCACCGATGCAAAATGATAACGGTGATGTCGCTTCTCTATTCAACTGAAATGTATTTTGATAGAATATGTAGTGCTACCAAAAGCAGTGTAATGGTGGTAAAGGCATTTCACTCTTTGCGGCGGACTCCTCACACGCCTGAGGTTCCATTCATGTGCAGTATTTTAGACTCCGGAATACACTGGAGGTCAGCAGAACATGTCTCGAATTTTTTTTTTTAGAGGAAGTGTGTTTGATAAAGAGGTAGGAGTTACACGGGTGCCGTCTTCGCCATTTGAGGCTCGGCGGACATTAATGAGGTAATAACCGTCATGGTAAGTCGGTTTATTAAACAAATTGTTGATTAAATTTTTAAATATTGGTTTCATGACTCATGTTGCAATCGCAGTATTGACGCCGACTACAATCAGAAGTTTGACCAATTAACAATATTTGTGGAAAATTTTCGCGTTTTTACTCTCGATTTCAATATTGCGTGCCAACAGATTGCTACAAGCCCTGCCCACAATGACACTTGGAAAGGTGACATGGTCGTTTCCATGGCGTCGTCACTCTCGGGAGCGCATCCTTAATGGATGCGCCAACGAACTTCTATGCATCTTAGTTCTATCAAAATATATGTACGTTCAAAGCGGAAGCGACGTCAGCGTTATCCTTTTGCATCTGTGAAGAGCAATCCTGTCCGAATTGATTTTTTTTTTTTTATATCTGGACATACGATAGACCAGGCCGACGCGCAGTTATGCATCTACAGGGCGGGTCAATGTGAACCTGCAGGTGTGCTCCCTTCAAGGAGAAAGAGTCGAACTAGGAAAGACAGGGTGCAATGGATCGCCGATGTTTGCCCTTTTGCAACACTGTTTGTGCGTGCACGTCTCCCATGTATACACCCGACCATACCGTTGAAGGCAATCTCTGGATCCCTGTTGTCCTCGGACTTGAGGAAGTAGGGCAGCACGGAGTCCCATCCCCAACCGAGGCAGCCCAGCTCTCGTTCCCAGCGGTCGTAGTCTCTCCGGTTGCCCCGCACGTACAGCATGTAGTTGAGCACGCTCGAGCCTCCGAGCACCTTGCCGCGAGGCCACAGGCTTTGCTGCGCCAGAAACGGGCTCCTTGGAATCTCAGGAGTGGCAGTGAACAGTCGCACCCCGTTTCCCCTCGCCGAGCATATAATCATCCAAAGATTCTGGTTGGAACACGCTGCCCGACTGGAACACGCTGTCCGATTTATTAAAAAAGCTGACCTTTGTTTACTCGTCTTGCAATTAAATAAAAACGTTGCGAAGTTGCCGTTTATCTCGTGTTTAGTTTTGTATTTCTGTCTTTTTTTATGGTTTCTACGCTGCCTTTGCTGTATAGTGTATTCTTTCACTCACCCCGCCCAACCCCCCCTCCTCCTCTTTTTACTGCAATGCCTACTGGGCGGTGTAGATATAAAAGAAATAAATAAGCATTGTAAATGACACGTCATTTTGTTTGGTCCCCATTTCAAATCGACAAATTCGACAGTCACGCGCGCAGTGGTAACACTGTAACAGGCAGGACTGCTCTCTTGCTTTCCTTACGCACGCAAGCAAGAGAGCATCAAAACTGCGGTCAAGAGGGGAGTCGATTCGCCATGAGCATCACAATTCTTTGAAATCGACGTGTTTTGCGACAGGTAATACTGTGCGGTCAACTTCAGTATTTAATTAGTCTGGTTTTTTAAGATGCACAGGCAGCTAGTCAGACATTTGAAAGCACCTTGTAGCTGCTGGCCACGCAACGCAAAGATTAAAAAAAAAAAAAAAGGAATCGACACCGGCACGGGCGAAAAGGGGCTCGATCGTTTTACCGCGGGCGCTGTTTCAGCAAGAGCAGTCTTCCGACACAAAGTGTGATGCGATGGGCAGTCGACTTTTGTTTTATGACGCACGGGCAGCCAGCATATAGTAAGGACTCCTACCACTGACTGGTCGCGCAACGTGTAACGTAAGCATAAAACAAATTAGCACCGTGATTACTTTGGTACGCCGCTATTCAGCAGTACGTGTCATTGATACTAAACAAGGCGCCGCTGCGTTAAACGCGATTGATTTTATGTCGCAATACGTTTTATGTGGTAAAAAGCGTTCGTCCCTAACAAGCAGTACAGTACATAAGACGACAAGCGATCAGGGGTATCTCGCGAGAGGAACGAACGAACTTTGATCAATGCCCTCCTTGGGTAAGCGCCGAAAACGTTCCAAACAACGAAGCAGGGAAGCGGACTCAGATCATTTCATTTTAGTGAACATAATTAAAATCCATTTTGTCTACATTCATAGTACAATAAGTTGGACCGACTTTGGGTCGCTATATACTCCGTTCACACTTAACGACTTTCTTACTGTTTTTTTTTTTTTTTTGCTTTTTTTTTAATTTGTACCGAACTTGAGTGCACTGAATGTAGTAGTGAACATTTTCTTTTCTCGAAAGTCGCTTCATTTTAAAAGTTATAGGCATATTAAAATTACAAAAACAAGGAAAACATGACCTCTTTCATGACGTCCTTGGTCCTCTGTCCCCCCCTTTTCCTGCGCCAGAGGACTCCCCTTTCCGTGGTGACTAAGGAATGTGGGGAGGGAGGGGAAGACGGGGAAAGGAGGTGAGGCCGAGGAGAGAAGCTTCTGGGAACGGGGCAGCTCTCTCTCCTCGGCTGATGTCAGGACCAAAAACGTCATGATTTCTTCAAATGGCCCGCTTGTTCGAAACCACGGGGAGACAAAACGTGAATGACTGACGGTTACGCTTATATCCTTAATCTATTCTATCGGCATGGCGATGGCAAAACAATGTTTTCACCCATACTGCGAGTGACGCTATTTCAAGATGGCGGCGCCCCCGTGAAATAAGCCTAACATACTGCCGCGGGCGTTCGATGAAACGCGCAGTCACCCTGTTCTTGAGTCCGAAGCAAGAGACCTCCTGCGGCACAGTCCGGTAGGCCCAGTCGAACTTGGTCTGCTGGATCTCGGCGGCCAGCAGCGGCACGTCCAAGAAGAAGTTGGGAAGGCCTCCGGCCTCGAGTAGCAGCACGCTCACGCCGGGGTCTTCGGACAGCCGGCTGGCCACCACCGCTCCGGCCGAGCCGCCGCCCACTGAACACCCCGAACAACGCTTCGTCAACCTCACGGAGAGAAATTGCTATCCGTGCAATCCCGTTTCCGCAACGGGACATTATATCAATCGGAAGTTTTAAGCCGCGCTGCGCATACAAAAGGCAGTCTCGGCCCTTTTCCTTGTATGACGCTCGTGGGACATTGGTCATACAAAAAATGAGCATGTTAATTAACCCACACTACGATAGCTGCGACACCTCACGGCCAAGTCATTTGGCATTGGGTGCGCCAACAAAAGCGTTCGGAACAAAATGGACATGTTACAAAATGGACATCTTACCGAGCTGTTCAGAACTGAGTTTTTAACCCCTTCCTCCTTACTTTAAAAGCGAAACAAAAAATCACGTGGTTGTGACGTGTCTGGTCACCGGAGGCGATGACTCCAAGCTTCCACCGTGCTCTTTAAGTACACCATAAAACTCAACTCATTGGCCACGAACGCGAATTCAAATATTCGTCGATGAGTTGATTGTTGGCGAGCCCACACGTCCGACTTACGCAGTGCTCGCGTCCAATGCATGAGCTGGGGCCGGCTCACGTGCATGGGCACCGCGGATGCATCACAGTGAAAAGGCGGAGAGCTTTTGAAAGAAAGGAAGTACAAAATAGTTAGCTATATTTTCAAATTTTCGTGCTAAAAAGCAGGCTTTATGTTTTCCACGCTCGTGCACGTATTATTTTGGCGCACTAAACGATACGCGATCAGTGAAATCCTAATTTATTCCAGTCAGAATTTCATTTCATGGTCCCTCTAAGTGAAGTATATATTCTGCATTGTGGTTCTTTGTTCACTAACAAAATATATCAATAAAAAAATTACAGGAAGATCCATTGGTGCATTCTTAGGGAATGCGTTAGCGTGACCCTTGGAAACGCCACATACGTACGTGTGTGGCGTTTCCAAAGGTCCCAATTTGCGAAACGCCTAATGCAGACCCCTTTACTTTTCTCTTCTGCTTCCTCTTTTTGGCCTCGCTACGGGTTCCGTGTGAGCGTTTCCCAAAAGGGGACGTGTGTGGCGTTTCCAAATGTCGTGCTAACGCATTCCCTAAAAATGCACTAATGGGTGTTCCTGTAATTTATTTTCACCCCTTTTATGTACTCTGCCTGTACATCAACGCACTTGGATACGGTCATACATATCACTCGTTGAAAAAACCACAAAAACCACTCGTGGAAAGAACCACATCTATATCACTCGTGTAGGGAACCGCACCCATCGTTTTAACTACACACACTGGTCCCAGCCCACGCATCCCTACTGCGGAAACCCAGAGCGAAGAACAACCGGCGACGGCAGAGCAGCGACTGAGCCAACACCACCTAGATAAGCTGAAGGCATCCGCACCGTGCTCGCAACGTCATTATAATCAGATCGATGGAGGCTTGAGATTCGGCAGGAGTGCTGCGTCAGTGTTCGGCCGGGGCTCGTCGTGTTCAATCAGCTCGTCGAAGGTCGGACTGTGATGACGTTTCATGAACAGAGAGGAGGCGATGCGGAGGCGGAGGCTTTGATTATTCTAGGTGGTGTTGACCGAGCACGCCCGCATTCCACCGCGCCGCAGCGTTGCGCGGCGCCTCCTCCTCTCTGGTTCCGCTCCAGCTGTGCGCGTGACTTTGATGAAAACGAAAGGTCTATACTTCATTTCAGCTTTGGTCCGAGCGCGGCCGATGTTATGAGCCGAAGGGCCAATCGAACAGCGCAAAAAGCGCAGCGTCATAGCGTGCTCTCTGCGCTTGATAGGACTAGCCGGCGGAGGAGCGCGCAGAGAAAGACGGCGAATAGCGGCTGGTCCTATCAACTGCAGAGAGCACGCCATGACGTTGTGCCTATTTCGCTGTTTGATTTGCCCTTCGGCTCATAACATCGGCCGCGCTCGGACCGAAGCTGAAACGAAGTATAGTTTTGACGAAAACCCGGCAGTGCCTGACAGTTTGTCAGCGCCCGGGAAAGAGGGAGAGGTTGACGCGTGCTGACGTCAGCGCTTCGGACCAATGGGAGCGTCGCACGCGCCACACTCTCCCCTTCCTTCTCCCTCTCTCTCCGGCGATAACAAACGAAAGACACCGCCGGGGTTTCGTCAAAACAAACGTTATAGTGCTAATTCATTAAAAAAAAAGACTCGAGGTAAACCTAACCACTTCTTATGAGTTGTGAATGCGAAAGCATGCACGTCAGTTTTCTGCTCTTTTATTTCGTCTGCACCGTCAGCGCGCCCTTTCCTCGCCGCTCTGACCTTGGACGTTTCGTGTTAGCGGCGCGCTGACGGACACGCAGCGCCATGGGGTGGCGGTCGTTGAAACTAACGCGCAGCGGCCAATGAGAGCCTCGTCGACCCGCGCCATCCAATGGGGCCGAAGCCGAAATCCATCAGCTTTACTCCGCTCCTTTAGGATCGGGGAAACGAGGTGCCGTTTGGCTAGGCTTTTCGCGTGGTTTCATAGCTGGGAGCCAGCTTCACTTGGAGAAAGGATTTAAGGTCTCGTTTGGCGCGGCTTCAAAGCTGATGACGTCGGCTCACTCCATAAGCAGTTAATGCTTAAAAAAAAATAAAAAAAAGCTGTGGCGTAGTTTAATGGTAACACGCCGGCTTCACTCCCAAAATCGAATCCCGCGGGCGGCATCTTTTTCAAGGGCAACATGGACGACGGACGCCCTACTCCGACAACTAAAACATCAAAAACGGACGTCCTTTCTAGTGCTGGGAAGAGCCCAGAATAGCGCTGTAAAACTGCCTGCAGACATGTTCATACGAAGCGCTTCGAACATGTCTGACGCTTTTCCACAGATATAGATCTGTCGTCAGGTCTGTCACCGCGTCCTTTGTACGTGCAGCGTAACTGCGGCTTAAGATATTAGAGATTTTTAGGGAACCGTCTTTTACACACCCGATACGGTACAATGGACCATCCGCTATGAACTGCGCATGTGCTTCCACAGAAGGCTCGCACATGCGCAGTTCGTACCGAAGAGCTTATCGTCCCGTATTGGATGTGCAATAACGGTTCCCTAAAACTCTCGTTTGTAGACCGCGGTAACCGCAATCCACCGCATGCATCGTGTCTGTCGTATTCGCTATTGTTATCGGAGCGCGACAACCTACCGCTAAAAACTTCCTAATGTCGTTCGGGACATTCGGGTCACACCCTTCGCTCGGAGCTGTCCCTCATAGCGCATATATACGAGGGACAGCTTCGCCGAGGAACGAAACATCGTTTACACGCTTTCCAAGTCGAACCCACTTGAGTCACTAGCATCGAGAGACTACTTACCCACAATGTAGTCGTACACGTCCGCAAACGTAAACTTGACGAGTGGCGGCCCTCGCAGCGTCGCCTTGAAGAGGAAGGCCGAGTAGAAGGGCACCAGAGCCAGCGGCAGGAGTCGGGCGACGCTCATCGAGATTCGGACACCCGCGCTCTGCTCCGTCACCCCTCACGAGTCACACTCCATTTGACGCCGACGGCTCGCACACACGCAGACGTCACGAACGCCGCCGTTCTCATCTGCCCACAAGGCAAACATACTTCCACGTGCCACAGTTGGAGGGGAAAAGGCCCACGCGTCCTCGCGCATATAAGATAAAAATTAAGATAGAAATAGAGGTCAGGGGTCGCGTTTGCGACGACGGATGGCAGCGAATCTGCACAAAGGACTCGGCAAATATTCCGTTCGTTGAGGCGTGACACGATCGCCCGCTGTTTGCCAGTCTGTCACCGGCACACGCGACCGTAGCTTAGGTCCTCTTCCCAGATTTAGTGCCGCGGGGCTGGGCGTACGGCGTAACTCGGTTCAACAATCGGGGCCTCGTAACTTTCGCGTCGGCTAAGAACCGTCACTGGAACACAAGTGTCAGTGGTAGGAAGATACGGGTGAATAAGGCAGGCAACGTCCGTAATTTATTTAATGTTAGGTCTGCGTACATTGTCAGCTTGCTAAAAGGGCCTTCGTTCGTATGGCAACTTCGTCCCAAAGCTGATCATTGTGTATATTTTAGTCGGAAATTACTTTTAAGCTTAAGCATGCGAATGCATTACGTCGAAATAGGTTTCTAGCGAATCCAAGTGCTCATATGTCGCCTGCAATGACATTATTGACAAAAATCATTGCAACTAGACTATTACAATGTCTTCTGGGAAACATTGTTCTGAAAACCACAAAGAAGCTCGCTACAGACCGCTGCACCATAGAGGCAAACTGATACTCAGGCATTTTTCCTGCCATTGAGCAGGTGCCGACTAACATCGGGAACGTATAAAGTATATATAAGACCAACGCGCTGTTTCCAAACAAGTCAGCGCTGTGGGAACCGCGCATGCGCACCGAACTGCAGTTGCGTAATGTCAGTGTTGAGTTGGTGTAAAGCCGCCAAAACGAAACAGCTCACACCGCGTTCGCTAACCTCTGGCGAGAGATTAGGGAGAACGGATTCTGCCCACAGGAAGACGATTAGCCAAGGACCATTAACACCGCCGCAAACGAGCAAGACAGCCGAGATGTAGAGCGTGGACCTAACGGAACAGAACCCAACGCCGTGCGAACTACAGTGCCCTGCACTGCTCCATCGCCTCTCAAATCCCCCCCTTACTCTTAGTCGACAGCGCGTAAGTACATGCGAAGGCAACGCTCGGCGGGGGACGGAGATAATGGCGGAGGCCACTCAAAAGAGAGCAGACAACAAAGCTGAGCGCCAGCAGCCGAGTGTGAACCGAGAATCCTGCAGAAGCGTGACGAAGGCCAAAGAAAGTTTCGGGCGGCTGCGAATCCTCGATTCGTAACGGTATCTTCTACTGTTGTGGTGAGTGGCTTTCCAGGATCGGGGAATCCTGGAAAACATCGAGAGAAATGTAATCAGGCGACGGTTTTTTCCATGTCCATGGAAACAGAGTAAACATGAGAGAAACAAAACATCCGTACGGAACACGAAGGACACAAGGAAGATCTATAGCATTAATATATATACATATATATATATATATATATATATATATATATATATATATATATATATATATATATATATATATATATATATAAGGGCGCTGTATGTGCACATATCTTCTCTGTTTTGGCTCCAGCTTTCTTTTTTTTTTTCTTTTTTTGCAGCAATAGTTTTGCATGTTTGAGTGCTCCTGATCTAATTGATACACGCTTCCGGTGACCTATGTGCTTTCTGTCTTTTAACACCTAACTTCATGAGTAAAATAAAACTTTTATTTTTTGTTATATTATTATTGATCCATCCAATACCATTGGCAAAACTATTTCCTGCAAAAAAATTGTTATATTATTATTGATCTCTCCAGTACCGTTGCCAAAACTGTTTTTGTAAAACAATTATTTGTTTATGAACATAAAAATATGTCCGACACAAATATAAAATACTTAGGAAATTTGATTAAAATTCCAGCCTAGGGCAATTTAATACATTACGAAATTACCTATACCAAAAGTAAAAAAATTACGTTTCTTATTACTGTGAAAAGTAATTTAATAACTTTTTTTTTAGGTAAGGTCATCATTCCCACCTCTGGACATGTTGGCTGTTTTATCTCGGAGCCGTAATCTGAACGGTTTGCTCGCAATCCCGCGCACTACGTTTCCTATAACCTCGTGAAAAGTCGTGGCATACAAATGTACATATTCTTGCCCAGCAACGAACACTGAGATTACGAAAGTTTCCTAAAGGGGCCATAAAATTAATTTTGGGCTGGGATAAATGAATTCAGAATGGGATTTTACTAATATCATACTGTTTCGTGGGCCAAGAGAAAGAGGGTAGAAATACAAAAGCCTGCTTTTCGATACAAAAATTTGAAAACATTGCGGACTATATCTACCTGCTTTTCTTCGAAAGCTCTGAGGGTAGAAATACGAAAGTGAAAGAGGGTAGAAATACGAAAGCTCTTTTTTTCTTCGAAAGCTTTTCACTGTGTTTCATCTGCGTTACTCAAAGCACGTCACACGCCACCCGGTCTCACTTTACTATACGCTCACCCCTAAGTTGACAGTGCGGTGGGAGCTACGCGGTTACGGGACCAATCAGCCGCTTCCCTTTCATCGCATGACCCCATTCTCGTGGGTATCACTGATCTCTATTGTAGTAGGCTGGATCACGGATCGAGGCTTGTCTCGCTGGGGTCGAGTGGCACCACTGGCAGCCGTCACTTGACACCAGCCAATGCATGGGACTCTATGGGGAAAACGAGAGAAGAAGTGCCGTTTCCCCCGTTTCTAAGTTTGTGTCGGCACTGAAACTTTTTGGCTGATTTTCGGGAAGCCTGTCAGGTAGCTTGTGTACAAACATTAAAACTGACAGCCCTCACAGTTCTTATAAATAAATGTATCGTGGTCGAGAGTGGCTCCGCTGGGGGGAAAATGTAGCACAGCGTTCCGTAGAGTCGGAGTCTGTGGCGTTTTCGATGAGTTGGGTTTAGGAGACGACAAGCTTGAAGGCTTTGCTAGGCGGAATTCGATCACTTCCGGAAAGCCGCTGTCAGCATTGAACTTTTTCGACATTCGTCAACCTCTGGGCTTCCCCGAGGACGGTATTATTAACGGCAACTTTTTTTTTTTTTTTTTTTTTTTTTTTTCTACTCTACTACGATAGCAAGCTTGCCAGCTCAACCGTAAATGCGCTAATCCGTTTTCTATTTTTTTTTTTTTTTGGTTGTTGGATTGTTTGAAAAATACTAATTCGATCTCCAAACAGCCGATATAATGGTCGCCGCGCATCAGAAAATACTCGCTTTCGAGCACCGCGTAGAAGCTTCAATATTCCCACTTTTGCGTGTTTCTCCCACAGACTTACGTATATTGCTTGGTGTCAAGCAATGGCCGCCGGTGGTGCCACCGACGGGCATATGCACGAGGGAGCGTGACCACGTAGCAAAAGCTAGAAGTGTCACTGGCCCAACGAGTACGTATAGCTTCCATAGCGCCGTCAGCTTAGGAGTGAATGGAGGATAGTTGCGCTCCGGACTGCGGAGGCCACGGGCATGGCCTCCGCAGTGGAGACAAAGGCAGTCTTTAGGGAGTTTTCGTAGATCGTTTTCGCCATCCCGCAACGGCCCTCCGCAACCCGCTACGATACCCGGAACTCTACAGTCGAGGCTGTCGGCGCGCAGGCGCAGTAGCAACTTCTCCGTTGCGGAGGTCTTAGCGGAGGAGGAAACGCGGTCTCCGAAAACTCCCTTTTGTCTCCACCTCACTCGTCGAACGCGTTAAAACGCAGGCGCCTGGCGTTTGGCTCTCGCATTCGAACGTGTTCGACGAGTGCAGTGGAGACAAAGGCAGCTATAGCTTTAGGTCTACCCACTACCAGACATGTACAAATTACTCAAAAAAGATAGTTAAGTTAAGTTACTGAGTATCGACGCCAAAAGTAATTGGAGTAGAGTAGAAATTACGCATTCGTAATAGTTACTGAGTAAACTACTAACTACTGTAAAAAGTAACGAGTTACTTTGAAGTTACTTTCGAAGTTACTTTTTTATATATTTGTGGTAGCAAAATGAACAGCAGTTTTGATCAATGAAAAACCCTGCGAGCCTAAAATAAATGCAGTCTATTTATGACTTGCGTTTTCGCCAAAATAGTTTATTCGCTTGCAGAAGCAATTGACTTTCAAAGTTCTTAAAAGGAGAGTTTTCCCCCTTTCCTTCTAAAGACGTCTCCATCCAAGCTAAATAGACGTTCCACCGACGGGCCGGATGGAACGGCAGCGTTGAATTTGAGAAACAGGCTGTGCAGGGTCGGGTAAGCGAGTGTCGGCATCTTAGGTGTCCATGACGAAACATGTGAGGTTTGCCTCGGGTAGAGGGTCTTTTATAACAAACTATCCTCCTTTTTTTCTTTTTTCTTCGTCAAGTTGAGATTGTTATGACTGGCTCCTCCTAATTCCGACGTCGTTCTTAGAGTACGCTGAGCGAGTGCACCAGACCGTCAAGGGTTCAAGTCTCGCGCCACGACCATGAGATCATCCGGACGACTGCGCGTCCAGTTGTAATGCTAGTGCTACGCTACTGAAAAAAAAATAATTGTTTTGGTTTAACAGAAGATGAACCGAAGTATACTTCGCCGCTGACGCCGGTCCAACAAAAGGATCTCCCAAGGGTAACTCGCAATCCTCGCCGGCGACTACAATATTCTGACGCGCCGGAATCGTTTTTAACAAACAGGAGGTCTCCAGGCATGGATGGTCGGAAGGACGCGAAGGATTACGTGAACAAGCATCGTCGCTCGTATCAGCTGGAAGCGGGAACGTGCTCCCATGAACGGATTATCCGTGCCAGGGTTTGTGCGCGGGGGAGTCCGGCTTTGCGAAGGCGTATGCGCTGACGACAAGGCGCCCAGCTGCGAGGTGATTCCAGTGGCGCCTCCCGTGGAACCTACCGCTTGAGTCAGAACTCACTAAAGACAGACAACACGAAAACAAC